AATCGGGCGACCTCGGGAATGCATCACGAGGATGCCGATGAGCAAGACGAGGGCGGAGAACCGTCAGTGTATAGACGAAAGCGTGCTCCCACAAATGAGAGTGAACGATATGACTACTATCGGGCGAGGCATCCCGAAGTGAACGATCTACATCCTCCGGTGGTATCTCAACTGCCGGCTACCAGGGCCGAAGCGGCTTGGATGTTACTTCCTCCTCCCAGTGCTGCTGTCATGGAAGCACGCAGAAGACCTGCTGCGGAACCCGAAATACGCTTTCCATTATGCGTCATCGGCAGGCCCCGAAAACAGGCGGAACCAACGCCATCAATGGCCAAAACCCGGTCCTTCGAACAAGTCGACATGCAATACTCGGTATATCCTAGTGATGCCGAAGATGAAGATGAAGGGTTTAGCAGCAGCGAGACACAAAGTGTCAACCGAGAAATCGATCACTACCAAATGCACAGTGAAAATGACAGCCCAGCACGGATCAAGCATCTATCAGATCCAGTCATCAAACCACCACCAGTGGTGTATCCGGTGTCACGGATTGCAGGAGACTTGTTTATTCCCAAGAGAAGGGATTCATGGCAGTTTCATTATGTCGTCCCGTCGAACCAGCCGATGGAATGGTAAGAGAAAGAAAGTAGGCAATTCAGTTTGCCTGATTCCAATAGCCAGAGGTGGCTACTACTCCTTGTTGCACACTGGGTCAATATGGAGCAAAATTGTTCTCGAAAAACTGGCCTGCCATGGATGGATCTGTGCCAACATGTGCAGATGAGCATTGAAAGTTTACAGTTGACGTTTTTTTTTTCACGACAGACTGAGGCGGTCTGCTAGACGAAGGTGTTTACGATCATGGTGCAGGGCAGGGATTGAATGACTTTTGGGAGCGCGATGGCGATGCATTTCTTTTTGTTTTGTATGTTTTTCTTTTGCGGCATTCTCACGTTCCAGGGGCTACCTGAAGCACTGTGTAACCAAAGAAATATTATTCTTGTTACTTGAGCCTCACCAACGCAAGGAACAGGCATGTGGTTGGGTAAGAATGCTGGTTCTCGTGGATTCTTGGACCAGGTGGTGCAGGGATCATCTTGTCTGCATTAACAGGGTCCAAGTTAAACGAGCCCAGGCGTGTGCCAGGCATGGCGCTGGGCCCGTTATGCGATCTGGAGAATGGAGCTGGGATGGCACCATTTTGCTGCAGGTTATTGTGCAATGATTGGGCAATTGAGCAAGACCCAACACTCGAGCGGGTATGGCGGTGGAGAACGAGGCTGGTTGGTAGCTCCCTTGAGGAAAATCATCTGTAAGGGAAACAGGCAAGGCTCAAATTAAAGGCGACTTCGAAGGGGTAGGGACTTTGAGGGTGAAGTTTCCAGGGCACTGTATCTCAGGAGGATCAGGGTCAGATGGATGTCAGGAAGTGGATGGCGGTTCATTCATCCGCCTGGGTGACAACAAAAACATCAAAGGGAAGAAAAGGATTGCCATAGACTAGTGAGTGACGAGAGATTCGCTGGGCGCAGTTTGCGCAGTCTGGGAGTAAGAAGGCACCGGCAGGCATTGGCAGGATTACCCTCAAGACATCCAAGAAACCAAAAGCCTCGCTACAACTGCGACATCGCAACACCCACCCAAAAACACATTTTTCCCTTTCTCTAACTCTGCTCTCCTGAATCAGTGACATTCTTCTTCACGGCCACCCCCCGTGTCACCTGTCTTCCCGCCTGTCCCCAGCCCTTCACCCTCGTATAACACCACGAGATTACCCCTGCGCACGCTATTCCAGCACCCACTGCCTTGTACTTGGTAGGTCGCTTGCCCACCTGCATCATACCGGATTCTCTCCTCCGTGTAACCTTCGACCAACCGCGGCCACAGTCAGTCCACCATTGCCAGAACTCTTCTCCACCCTTCGCGCAAACCGTCCATCGCCCTCGATCACTCGCGCCTCCAGACCACTGTCATTCATTACGCGGCAAAACAAGTCAACGCTTCTTGGGTTCCTCAAAGCCTCGCCAAGTTGTGATCCTTCCCGCAGGTGGCCGTGGTTCAATCTGAGTCTGAGCCATTGACAGAGAGCCGCCTTGACCCCGGATCTTTGGGTCTTGTTCTAAATTTCGCTGCATTTCGACCCTCAACGCTGTCCACTCTCCTGAGACATTTCAACACCGTGTTCTAGTCATCTGCTCCCGTCCGCAGCAAAGACAACTGCTTTCTAGCTTTCCCTAGCACCCCTCTTCCCTTCACAGCTACAAACGACTTTCTTTCACTCCCCACCTTGATTCACGTTTGTTGAGTTTGGCAACAACCTACTTGGCTTTCCGGTTCGAAATCACCCACACACTCCATCCCTTGCTTCGCCACGCCGCCTACGACTACCACCACTTCTGCCGTGTAAGGGATCTTTAAACTCTCTTTTCGGGCCTCTGCGAGAGAAGGAGGAGGATACTGTCAAATATAACAATATTATCTGGTTTTTCGCTGTCCGTTACTCAGACGCATCATCGTCACCACCTTCACTCTGGCACCTCCCAAGATGTGGTCTACCGCCGCTTCCTGGGTCGCCCTGCTTGCGTTGACCGCGGCTCTCACCCGATACTATAACCCAGACCTGTTCAACAAACTCACCGGCCAGGCGTTCACACGAGCACCACAACCGCATCAAGAGTTGGAAAGACCTCCTGCCAAAAGACAGAAGTCGAAGCGGACACATGCCAGTCGACTGGAGACTAGCAACAGTGGCACTTCTACCCCGACTAGTGCTACTGAAGGCAAGGCCAACAAGAGGAGGAAGCTCATCTCCGCCCCGATTGAGGATAAGGTGGTTGCTCAAACTGCTGAGGGTCAACGAGTGACTCTGCCACGAGACGAGGAGGACGAGCTGAGCAACAAAGAATTCGCTCAACAGCTCGCCAAAGCCCAGGCTGGGACGAACCTGCAGCCTGTCGCATCGCAGGGGGCGAACAAGAAAGAGAGACGAGCGGCTGCAAAGTCAGCGCACGGGAAGCAAAATGGCCTCGAGGCTTCAGGGCTTTCCACCGAAACGTCTTCAACCACCGGTCGCGATGCAGACGATGACCTCTCCCCGATCGGATCTCCCTCTACTGGCCCTGTGTCGACCGCGCCCACCTCCCGCGCTGGTGATGTGTCGGACATGCTAGAGGCCCCTGCAGCCAAGCCTGGAGTTTTGAGACTAACAGATGTCAAGAATGACGGTCCCAAAACGGCAGCGGGCTCCTCCAAAACCGCTTTCCAGCCTGCCTTGACCAAAAAGCAAAGACAACGACAAGCAAAGGCTGCGGAGCAGAAGGCTTTGAGAGAGGAGTCGGACCGCATGCACGAGCAAAAGAAACAAGCACAGTTGCGGACTGCCAGAATTGCCGAAGGAAGCTCGAACCAGACCAAAGCGAATTCATTCACTGCGAAGCAAAATGCGTGGCAGACTGGAAAGCCAGCTTCGGAGAAGTTGCCCCAAACCACTGAAGCCGCGCCTCTTCTCGACACTTTTGACAAACCAGAAATACCAACTGTTACTGTGAATGGGTCTGTCACTTCAGAACCGCTTTCCAATGTAACCAATGCTGTTCACGAGACAGCAAATGTCTCTGCAGTCAAAGAAGATGTTGGCAAAGGCAAGACTCGCGCTCTCGGAGCATCAGATCGCGAGAAAGCCGCCAGACCTGTCCTAGGGAGCCGGCCAAGTTGGGCTGACGAAGTCAACCAGGAGGAGCAAGACAAATGGGCAAAAGAGCTTGTACAAGACGAGAAATGGGAATCGGTGACCAGCAAGAAAGGCAAGAAAAAGGCCAAAAAGGATATAAATGATACAAGCAGTGAGGCCAGTTCTTCGGTTGCCAGAACCGTGGCAGCCAGCCACCCCATCATCAACGGCACTCAAACGAATGGAATCAAACCTCGCGTGGAGAACCTGAACCGATTTCAGTCCATTGAGCCGGCGACAGATCCGACGTTCAGAGACGCTGAATGGGAGGCTTGATCTAAGATGATGCAGGCTTTGGAGGAGACACTCACTCCGACGCGTCCCGGAGTGGATGCGGCGGACTTTGTTGCCAATAGTGCATGTCCATTTGAGAGGCAGAGCGTGTTGTTTGTTTGTGTGATTTTCTTTCTGTCTACTTTTGTCTCTTTCGATTCTCAGAACTTGTCCGGCGTGGAGCATCATTTTACGGAGCATTAGTATGGGCATGGATATTCATACGGCCCCACCATGGCCTTCAGCAAAAGCAGAGATCAAATCATCAAATACCAGAATGGGGATCCCACGAGGTCCAATTTATTCGTATGGGAAAGGGAGAAACCTTATGTTCCATGGGGAAGAATGGGAGAAAGCCATTGCGCCATCAGGATGATCCCCAAGATAGAATCACTGTGGACTTGTGTACATGATATGCAAGTCATCTTGAAGCGACTGTAACCAGACAGCGGCTGTTATTCCAGAAGACACAATCCGTAGCTGACTTGTAGAGCTGCGAGGGACGAGAAAGGCGCAGTCGCTGTACCTCGCATGAGGGAGGAAAGGGGATTGTGCAGGCGATTGTGGACTTAGTCAGAACCAAAATTCAGGGGTTGCATAGAGTGTGATTGGCCGGGTTGTGGGTTGAGAATAGCACAACCTCCCACCACGACTAAGTAGCCAGCGTGTTAAGAATACTCAGAGGCAGTATTTTGTCCCTGTGCTGTGCCTTGCCTCCAACGAAGTCCCAAACTGGGTTGCAGATTGACACGCAGCTTGTTTGCTTGCCACGGGTCCATATAATTTCATTTCCCTGTGCGGGAAATTCTGAGCAATTACTACCACTTGAAACAGACACAGACACACGCGCACACGCACACCTACTTCTCTTGCTAACTATCCCACCCGTCCTCACACACTTCTCGGCCGGACCCATTCCTGACTGCGATCGAGACCTCCCTCACCTCAAACCAAGAAACAAGAAAGTGCCAACATTTACTTCCTACCCAGCGTCACCATGGCGCAGATACGAGGCACCGCGGGCTACAATCTGGGCCTGAACAACCAATTTGGCTCCCAACGGAGCGACAATGCCACCAACGATCCCAGTCCCCTCGACCAGATTCGAGAACAGACGAGCAAAATTGAAGACTGGCTGAACACGATGGGCGAGCCTTTGAAACCGTGAGCATCTATACCCATCACCCTTCACTGCGGCTGCAAAGCTACGCGGGGGCGTCTTCTCAAAGACCAGTTTGGATGCTTACTCGGTCCAATCATACACAGATACCTGCCCGCCATCGGTAGATTTCTTATCGTCGTGACATTCCTCGAGGATGCGGTCAGAATCGTGACCCAGTGGGGCGACCAGCTCACATATCTAAGAGATTTCAGACACAGTGGGTGAACCGTCGAGATGAGTCCAATAACTGCAGATGCTGACCACACCTCCCTAGTTCCCTGGGGAATCACCCATCTTTTCCTCATCTTCAATGTCATTACCATGTCGGTCTGCTCCACGCTGGTCATCATGCGCCGCTATGGCGAGTATGCCGTGGGCGGTCTGTTGTCGGTCGTGGTTGTTCAAGCCCTGGGCTACGGCCTCATCTTCGATCTCAATTTCTTCCTTCGCAACTTGTCCGTGATTGGCGGTCTCCTCATGGTGCTCGGGGACAGCTTCGTGAAAAAGAGGGTATTTGCAGGTCTGCCTACAATTGATGAGAAGGACAAGAAGATGTACATTCAGCTCGGTGGCCGAGTGCTGCTGATTTTCCTCTTCATTGGGTTCGTTTTTGCCGGTGAATGGAGTGTCGGGAGAGTCCTGGTCAGTATGATTGGATTTGTGGCTTGTGTGATGGTCGTGGTGGGTTTCAAGGCGAAGCTCAGCGCTGTCATCCTGGTGGTGCTTCTCAGCGTGTTCAATGTGCTTGTCAACAACTTCTGGACGGTGAGTGGAATTGATGCCCCTTCGCTATTGATGCCCTGTGCTGACAATGTCCATCTGCAGCTTCACAAGAACCACCCACACAAAGACTTTGCCAAGTACGACTTTTTCCAGATCCTGTCGATCATGGGCGGTTTGTTGCTACTGGTGAACATGGGACCCGGCCAATTGAGCGTGGACGAGAAGAAGAAAGTCTACTGAGTATGTGGGTAATTGATGCAGCGTACTTTGGGGGAAGAGGAGAAGGAACACACCGTACTCGACCCACGCGTCGATGATATAAAAATGTGGAATGAGACCACGCAGGAAAACGACGAGGGCCACTCAGGCGGAAGCAGACAGCTACGATCCACAGCAGTGTGTTTCGGGGACGACTCGTCTCATCAGTCGGCTGTCTCGATCTGTGCCGCGCCGAGAGCAATTCGGTGCGCGTCTTCGAGGGCCCGAAGCCATGATGAAGCAAATACGTGTGATATTTAACTTTGCATAAGCGGATGCGTTCTCAGAGATAGAACGTAGGTTGGGACAATAGTTTAGCATGCTGCCTGCGTTCTGGACTAAAGCTCTGTCCGGGATGGACCAATTTAGAGAGAAAAGCCATCATCTAAAAGCCAAGCAACTAGATCTCCTCTTGACACTGTTTCTTTCTGTGGCCTTGACCAGGGACATGTCTCGAAGGGCTCCCGTGGGTGTCTGAACGTGAAGAGTCTCGGGTCCTTGTACTCTTTACTATCCTGGAGCATGACATACTATTATTGATGGTGCTAACCTGATCTGGAAGTCTTGCGCGCTAAAACCTCTAGCGGCTTTGCCAAGGTCGGCTCTAATCCGGATAAACTTGTTTCCCATCAAGACATCGTCCTCTAATATTTCACGGATAGTCTGACCTCAAAAATTCCATCACAGCGTGATCCAATTCCGCCCCTTCAATCTCGCCATTTTCACTCTTCTCGTACAACTGAGAAAAGTACCCGGACCAACATGTCTCTCCAGGAGGCTGAACCGGTGTCTGTCGTAGGGTTCTCTTTCGGATCGAACGGACCCAGAACCTCGCGATGATCCCGACTCCCAGATCGGCCCATTCAAACGGACTCGGCGTGAGAGTGCCGTGGTACTTGTAAACGAATATCGGGTGGAGGATGAGCATGGCAAGGAGAGAGAAGCTTTTCAGGCGATTTGAGCCGAACGTCAGGTCAAGTCCATACAGTGCCGGTCCAAAAGCATAGTAGTTGAGCTCTTGAAGGACGCACACGAGATTCGACACCCAGCGCACCCATAGCCCCATTGGAAGATAGCCGCGTCTCCCTAGGGCTATGAGGACGGACATCCCAAGTTCGGCGACCGAGGTGTGCCAATCCCTATCCGACATGGCCTCTTCAATGGACAATAGACGGTCTCTTTCACGATCGGTCTCGGCACATTTGCACATCAGCAGGTCCAGCATTCCCTTGGTCCAGAGAGTTTGACAGTTGTTGAAGAAAATCTCATACACCTCTGCATCATCTCCGGCGAGACGTCGTCTTTCTTCTTCAGTATGTTAGCCTGTCGCCTCTCGACTTTGCTTCCTCTCACCCGGGTGAAACTTACGCTCAAGTGCCATCACTTTGTCGATGTATTCGTTACTGACAAACGTATGACCCGCGACTGCCAGCTGCTCGTCTGTTAGCTGTACTCCCGCTGCAGTTGTGTTCAGTTCCCCAGCAGAGGTCGCGCTCTCGATGCTGATCTGAGCACTGCCTTCGCCCCGGTGCAGGTGCCATGCGGTTGCTCGGTCAGGAATATCGATGATCCAGTGTCGAAAGATGTTCTTGCTCAGCAACTCTTTTATGCCTTCTGAATATATCGACTCGTCCGGGTTACTGGTTTCCGCACCATCGACTCCGAAAGAGCCCAAGGCCCCAATGGATGTTGAGATGAGGAAAATTCTACACCTGTCCCCCGTGTTGCTCTTTACAAGTCTGGTGTAGTGGAGCATCAATGCGATTAGGCCTGGCATCCGAAACGTCTTTGTTCTCAGACTTCGCTTCTGGACCCGCCACGGGCTGTTGGCCTTCCTCTTCGTCTGCGCACGTCCTCGGAGATAAGTCGTCCTCAAATCAGGCGTCGCTAATGTCAACAGTGCTCGCAAATCTGCGTTGGCGTCGAGAAGGGCACGCCTGGCTTGTTCGATACGCTGACAAACGCGATCCCTGCTCCTGGTGGAACAATCCGCCCCGCTCAACCCGGCGTTTGCGTACCGTTCCAAAATGGATCGCTTCACGTCGTCTCTGCGAGCCACCTCGGCCGCACGGGCGATGTGGTCCGACAAGCTGAACAGGGCCTTTGCCGGACCATTGTTGACGCACGGGAAGAGCGAATGGGCAAGGCAGACGCCAAACCTGTGGTTTTCAAACACGCCATTCCTTGCGAACAGCCAATTGCCGACCGCGCACACCCACTTGGTCGGGACCAGGTTCAGGATGTTTCCGACCACAATGAGCGCCGTGGTCTGAAACGCTTCGAACAGCCACCGTAGCGGGAACAGGAGTATGCGCGCCGGCCATTTGACGACGGGATGGATGATGTTCCGGTACGCGGTCACCACGAGATATGCCGCGACCTGGACGCCCGTGTAGATCCATCTGACGGGGACGAGGGCTCGGCTCTGCGCCAGCCTTTGCAGGAATGGCCCGATCCGAGTGTACAGCACGTCCGGGGCCACGGTCCGGATCGCTTTCACGCCCACAGCGGCTCCGACGAGGGTGACGCACAAGACCTGCGGGGCCCAGCCCAGGGCGGAGAGGAGAGACATCATCCTCCAGGCCACCAGCCAATGTATGCTGACAAGACAAATCTTTCACAGAGAATCTCGGGATTCGAATTCGACCAAGAACTAGAAATTGATAAAGTCGCAGAATGGTAGAATAGCAGCCTAGAGATTCTCGAGAGCCTTGATTTGGGTTGGTGAGCCGTAAGGCTGGACGGAAATCAAGTCATCACGCTGTGTTTTTCTCCTCGGCCACGTTGAAACAAGCGGGTATAAGATGGGTATGGGTGTAGGTATAGGTGTGCAGCCTGGAAAGAAACCTCCCCGCTCGGCTCAGTAGTTTCCCGGTAACTCGTGCTTTGTATGTTGTAGCCTTGTCTTTTGTGCTGTGGCGGTGCGTGTGTCGGCTAGTTGGCTCTATCTACTATTAGGCACTGCTGCGTAGTACTGGGCATGAGGTAGGTAGGTATTTCCCCCGCATGTGTTGAGCGAGCGTGTGTGTGTGATTATGTCTGTCTGCTCTGTCACAAGGCTGAAGACTCACTCACTCATCCATCTTGCCATGTCTTGAGTGTCTTAGACGACACGGGGGGGCGGGCCACACATTGAACGAATGGCACTGGCGGGCCAGGCTAGGAACGAGTACAGAGGAGCGAGGAGCGAGTATTAGTGGAGGAGGTATAATTAGGAACCGACCCAGCTACAAATACTCGGTACCCCGTACCTCTATCAGAGAGATTCCATTGGGTCCATGGACATGGTCAAGGTCAAGGACAGGGACAGGGACAGGGACAATGGGTCTTGATTTCTACGAGAATACGAGGAAAAGAAAACACACCTGCAGGGTCTCTACACACCCCGTCGCTGCGGTGATGCGTGATGCGTGATGCTGTTGAGTAGTAGTAGTTGGCGGCGAGCGGACTTTGAACGCGTGCAGATTTTCGAGGCTATTGTTAGACATCCTGGGCCCCGGGCAAGTTGAATACGAGGACTTGTGTCACTCTCCTCTTTCCTAGATACAGTGTGGGATGTGACGGGCAAACTAAGACTACTGTAGGTCACTCACGAGTGCAATTTCTCAGCGATGAGGCTGAGGCTGAGGCGGAGGCTGAAAAGCGCCATGCAGATGCGGGACGGCACAGCGCAGCACGGCACGGCAGGGTAGACAGGGTATGTATGCAGTAGCGGTGTTGGGTGGTGGTCGTTAACAGGACGGCCTGAAAGCCATTTCGCTTAGCAGACAAACAAGTTACGAGAGACGTAGGACCTATGGTTGGTTGGTTGGCTGGTTGGTTGGTTGGCTGGTTGGTTGGTAGGTACATACAAACATGCATGATGCCCTCCCCCTGCGCTGATTTCTCCCAATTTGGTTCCAGAGCTCCTTTTCTCTTTTTCCATTCTTGGGTGATTCAATCTCGCAGGTCCAAATACATTCATTCATATACCAACCAACCACCAAGCCGCCACCATGGATTAAGCCGTCGTCTCGTTGGAAAAGAGAGTCCTCCCTCCCTGCCTCCCTCCATCCTATCCCTTTCTTTTTGGGCAAATCATCCAAAATGACACGGTCTGGCGGCATGTGTCTGCCGTGGATCCTCCCATGGCAGAAGAACATGACTCTGGACCCGATCCAGAAGCTCGTGACGGCGGCAAAAGACGACGACCGACGACAACTCACCCGAAATTGGAGAGAGTCGAAGCTGGCGGAGCTGAATTACGTGGGGTTGACGGTACGTACAAATGTACCTCTCGTACACTCTGTATTCCCTATACGGTCAGTTCAGGACCTCTTGGGCATGAAAATCGTCGAGCACGTACCTCATCCTTAATAAAGGGCCTTCGAATATGGGCAGCATCTAAACACACCCCCCAAAAACTAGAGCGCACTCGTCACCAGTGCATTTGCCAGTGCCATCGGATGGCAGACGGTCAACTTGATCCCCTATGTCCTGGGGATCTGGTTCGGGGGCCTCATCCTGGTCTTGACGTCCATCTTCATCGCGACCGCGCAGAGCATCGCCGTCTATCGCTTGACGACCAGCGACGAAGGCCTCGACGAACTGGCGGGGTTGCTGGGGAACAACCCACAAGATCCGGGAAGTTCGCAACCGCGCCGATTCCAGGTCCTGGCGTGGCAGATGCCCGTGATGCTGCTCAACCTCAGCATCACCTTGTTTCTCATCGGTCTCTTGTGCCAGATTTTCAACTCGTACACCATGACTAGAAAAGATGTCAAGGTGGGTAGTGACCCCCAATCTGGAGGGTTGTGCGACAGCGGGTCAGAATCCAAGCTAATCGAACTGATTTTGATGTAGGAGGTGATTCTCACCAGCATTGCATTGGCATTTGCCGTGTCTTGCTGGTTGGTCTCTGTGCTTACAATGTATTGGAAAAAGCCGTGAAGGAGGCTTTCTTCCTGGCCGAGATATCAACCTCAGTTTCTCGGAGCATTAAGTCTGGAACGCTGAACCCGGAACCCGGAACTCATCCATCTCCCTCCCTCTGCAGATGTTGAAGGAGCGGGAACAAGGTTCAGAAAGGATCTGTGTCGACCGCTCCACTCCCCCATATTATCTTCGGAACAGGCAGTGAAAAAAATAATCATAGGCAGGGAGGAGCCATGTTCTTTTCAAGGATAGCTCATTCTGCCTTGGTAAAGAAGAATCTGTCGTGTCCTTGGTCTGTAGTCTCTTTGTCCAAAATCAAATTCCATGTCGTGCCAACACCTTTGATAGGCGCTGGCTCATAGCCTGTGGAGCAAGCGTTCCGGAGGTCGTTGATGAGCGAGAGCGAAAGTCCGTCCTGAGCAAGAGGTGTCGTGGCAGACGAAGAGCCACTGTTGTGAGTTGTGTCGGATGCCAGATGCAAAGGTCCACCAGGCCTACAGTCTTGCACTTCCCCCCCAACACCACCGCTTGGGGAGAGAATTGTGTTGCAGAATACCGACACGTGCTGTCCTGCCCACGACGTCAACTCAGGTGGGCCAATGTACCACCGTACCAGACCGATAATGATGAAGACAGCCCCCAAACCAATTTCTACACAGGCCGCCTGGACATAGCCACCGCGACCTGCAATCAGCCTAGTTCCCTCGAACAGAGGGTATCTCGTCGGATCTTTACTGGAGAGCCGCTTGATTCCAGTGATGCGGTCTGATCGATAGAAATTGTGGCCTAGAGACTCAACCTGGCGAGACTGATCTTGACGTATTGTTTCGATATCTGTTCCCCAGACTGCCATGTTTGCCCGCACAATGATAGACTTGATCTTTCTGTTCACATAAGAGCTCTGGAATGATAACGATCCACTGAAGCAGCCCGTCTGGAGAATGGGTCCGACCGAATAACTTGTCCCGTCCTCGTAGTAGGTTTCAACCAGTCGCTGTGGCCCAGAGGGCGGATCTTTTGAGACGCGGCCATCCACCAGATATCCCGTTTGATCCGGCAAGATATTCTGGCAAGTTCCGTTGACCACGCGACGCGCAACGATGAACCGATGTCGGTAAACACGAATTTCTTGTTCTTGTTCAATGGAAGCAGTTCCGAGCAGATCTGGATCTGCTCCCTGGCCGACGACAAGTCCAGCTCGACGAATTGTGATTGCCCCCGGAGACTGTATCTTGAACTGAACGTTGTTTATCACGTCCGGCTCCAAGGTTTGCCAATATATGTCATGGATGGTGAAATTACGACCTGGTTCAATCACGCTGTCGACCACTTCAGCGACCAGGACGTTCTCAGAGGTGTACAGTATACCGGAATCTGCCCCATTGAAGAGGGTGCTTGCACACGTGGCTGATCCGACCATGATAATTCGCCCCGTACCCATACGATCTGCGTCTTCTTCTGGGTCTCCTGAGAGTCGATGGATGAAAGCTTTGTTCGTCAAGATCTCCACGGGGTCTTGGTACACAAAGTCTTCTCCAGGTACCAGAGGCTGATATGAAACTCTGTCGTCAAACCACTCGCTTACGCCGGTGCCCTCGTCGAGACAATGAGCGGGAGGAATTCTCAATGATATGAGGTCTTCGGAAATCTGTTCGCGTACTTGGCCCTCGACTTGAATGATGCTGAACTTGTAGCCGATCGTCCACAGAGCTATCATGGCCGAGGCCAACCAAAAAGTCATCACATACCATGCAAAGCCTCGCCTGATACCCAGAAGAACCGGAGCGTGAGGGAGGGTATTCAGGTACTTTGCATAAGGAAGACCTCTTGAGCCTTTGGCAGTTGCCAACCTGGAGCAGACACAGTCATAGAGATGTTGGACCGAGGCCAGGAGGCTGAAAGAGAGCCCTGACACTATCAACCCTAGTATAGCGGTCCATGCTTGGATCTGCAGGTTGGAACCTGTGGCAAATTGACGACGAAGGGAATCCTCGGGATCTGGCTCGCCACAGATGGTGTTTATTCCAATCAGTATCAAACAAATAGCACTCCCAAAAGTGGTGAGGATTGAGAGATACGGAGTCCTCCGTTTTCCAGTCTGTTTAGGTGCCATGCTGAAGACTTCGAGGGACGGATGAAGAGATGATTCGGTCCACCCTCCTACAGCCTTGATTCCAAAAGAACAACATGGTGTTATCCGGCCTCAATAAATTATCATGGGAAGCCTAGGAATGCGGCTGCAAGGCAGAATTTGGTAGGAAAGCCAAGACGACGCCTCTTTGCACCATTTCACGATGTCGCCGGGGACAACAATCCAAATGGGCGACGTCGAGCGACGGTTTCCTTGGCCGTGGGCGGCATCAAATGGTGCCTTTGACCAAGGCAAGGGCTAGCCAATGGACGCATCTGGATCTCGAGCTGAACGCCTCATCCCTTTGACGAGTGAAACTAGTGCTAAGCCACAGCTCAGCGACATCGGCACGAATAAGAGCCGAGTTGTGCACGAAAGATGCATCATTCAGCACTACTAATACAAAGTCGACTTTGTTGTGAGTGAAACGAAGGATGAGATAGAGTCCTCGACAAGAACAATAGAGAGAGACTGTGGGAGACTTGAGACGAGAACAAGGGTACGTCGTAACAAGCAAAACAAGGCAGGTGGGCCGAAGCGGCGTTAACCGGAAATGGCCGAAAGAGGTTCAGGGTTGCATCGCTGCGTCTCTGATTCATCCCACCAACGAGTAAGAAAGACACCACCATCTCACAAAATATATTCTGGGCGCAGACGACATCGTTTGCCCGTGGCCACAGCGAGTAACTAGGCGTGCACTAGACCGTTGGCTCACCTCTGCCTTTCTCTATCACACCTCGACTTGCCCCTCACTGTCACTAGGCCAGCCTTATCCAATCCACATCAGCAAGCAGATCCCCCTCCCAGTGTGACGGCGTCTGACGTGAGGCTCTACCACACAAATACAACATCATGGCGCCCAAAAATCGCATCATCATCGACACCGACCCGGGCGTCGACGACGTCTTGGCCATCTTGCTTGCCCTCGCCGCCAGCGCCGACGACCTCGAAGTGCTACTGATCTCGATCACCTTTGGCAACGTCGACGTGCGCTCCTGTCTACGAAATGTCGTGGCCATTTTCCACATCCTGGAGAAGGAAATCGCATGGCGTGAGCAGCAGGGCAAACCAGTGGGATTCGACGGTCTCACCAAATTCAAGCCGATCGTGGCCATTGGCGCCGACGAACCCTTACAAGACCGCATCGAGAGCGCCGACTATTTTCATGGGACTGACGGATTGGCCGGGACGCATACCAGCCATCCGCATTTCTCACCCGAGGAGAGTTGGAATAGGCTGTTCGAGCAACCTCCACCAGACAGTTTCATCACCGAGAAGGCCAAGCCCGAAGTCGATCTCAAGGAAGACACCAATGCATTCATCCCTTCCCTCGAGCCTGCGCATAAGGAAATTCTCCGCCTCCTACGGGAAAATGAGCCGGATACTATCACCTTGATCGCTATCGGCCCGCTCACGAACTTTGCCCTGGCCGCGGCAGAAGACCCAGAGACCTTTTTGAGATGTAAAGAAGTCATCACCATGGGTGGCACAGTTGATGGCATCGGCAATGTCACGCCTGTATCGGAATTCAACGTCTATGCCGACCCCTACGCTGCCGCCAGGGTGTATGCACTGTCATCGCCCATCCCAGCGAGCACCATGCCCGTCGCCACAGAGGGCGAACGCAGTTTCCACCTCCCCCAATACCCTCCGCGGCTGTCCAAACAGCTGAAGCTCACACTCATGAGCCTGGACATTACGGAATACCATATGCTGAGCCGTGGCGAGTTCAACGCGTTTGCCAAGCCTCATCTCGAGGCGGGTTCACCTCTTGCGGCGTGGATGACGGCGTTCATGACACCCATGCTCGACAAGATGGAGCGGCTGCACATCGGCCATGAGGGCGAAGGCGCTGCACTGGCGCTACACGATCCGCTTTGCATCTGGTACGTGCTGACGCACGACGACCCATTGTGGAAAGCGAGCGCGCGCAGCCCCGAGGATATTCGAGTCGAGACTGCCGGCCAGTGGACTCGAGGCATGACGGTGGGCGACAAACGAGCCCGACGCAGGCGGAACTCGGACGGCGAGGTGCCTCATGACCGCGGCAACTGGCTGGGTAACAGGAGTGGCAATCGTGTGTATAGGATGCTTGAAAGTCCAGGCCGGGAGGAGGCTTCGAAGCACCTGTTGAAGACGATATTCGGGGCATGATGTGTGTTTCCGCGTGCAGAACAGGTTCCAGTGAAGAAGTGGTGGAGCCGCGGACACTCTTTCAGTTCCAGGAACACCATGACTGCAGCAAATGCAACCTTTTGTTGAGGCATTCGGCTCGTCCGTTGACATCAACCATGATTACACACGAAGCAGAGGCAGCCGAGTCTGGCCGAAAGAGTATCAATGCCATGGGGCGCTAGAGTAGAATGACCTATCATAGATGGGAGTGAGCAGAGAATCCTCCTCACTGTTCCTCTTTACTTTTTGCTCGATCTAGGGTTAATTACCCGTCGAGTCCCTTTCCGCGTGCTGTTGCCTTCGTCCCGTCTGCTTGTGGGATTGCCACGTCACATGTATGGTGGGTAGTGGTACAGTTTTATCTCCCCTCCCCCCACCCTCGCACCATTCCGCCCGCAAACTCAAATCTTCAACTTGGCGATATCGATCCCCATCTGTCCCAGCATCTGTCTATACGGCGGGAACAGCTCGGGTCCCGCCGCCGTCAGACCCTGTCTCCAGTCCAAGCCGGGCTCGGCCTTGTCCATGGCCCGCTGGTACGCCTCCCTACTCCCGATGCGCTGCAGATAGGCCAGGATGGCCGGGTAGGACGACAGATCGGTCGGGGTCCACTGGCGGCCGGTGGTGAGAGTCCAGACGGTCATGATGTCGGCGAGGGTGAACTGGTCGCCGGCGAGGAAGGCGCCCGTGGTGGCGAGCCGGGCCTCGACGGCGGCGAGGTGCTTGTGGACGTTGGCGGGGATGGACTTGGCGAAGGCGTTGTCCGGGTCGGGCTGGAGCCACGCGGCGCTCATGACGCGGAAGAAGGCCGCGCCCAGCGTCGCGTTGGCGTAGTGGAACCAGAACAAGAAATCGGCGTAGTTCTCGTGCGCGGCCTCCAGCGACAACGCCCCGCTGCCAAACACCCCGTCGATGTACGCCGCGATCGCCCCGGATTCGGCCATGTTGAATTCTTTGCCCGTGACACGGTTCGTCGTCGTCATCACCGGCGCGGACTTTTGGGGTGTCAGCGCTGCCAGCGCCGCGGGTGCGAGGATCGGGTCCCGCGTGTACGTCTTGAGCGTGTACGCGATGCCGAGTTCCTCGCATAGCCAGACGATGCGCTCGGACTGCGAGATGTGCAGGTGGTGGACGGTCAGAGACATGATTTTCTATACGACTTTTCCAGGGTAGATTGGGAATTTACAGTGTAGTGGTAAAAGGAGCGGACGGTGGAGGGTTGAGATGGATGTAGATGGTGTTGGTTGGCGGCCTGAAATGGGATGGACTTCGGAAGTGATTGCCTGCCTTGCCTGCCTTGGCCGCCTGGATTGTTCTTGTTCGAGTCATGCATCCCGTTAAGGAACTCGTCATTACTCATTTGGGGTAGCCGAAGACACCAATCCCAACGCCTCTTTTCTTTCCTCAGTCTTGGTGGATATCAAAGTCACAACAAAACACGTCGCGGTCATGATGGCGATACAATAGCCATGATGGCTCGAAACATGAGTTTCGCAAAAATGTCTCTCACACTTTCCTTGTACAAGTCTATCTCCTCCTCATGGTGTACAGTTCCCATCCCCGAATATCGTGTCGACTCGGTTTTGGCTGTGGCGTTCTTCGGATCTTCAACGCCACCACGTTGACTTTCACGCCGGTGGGCTGAATTAAGCCCATGTTGTGTCGCTCAGGCAAGAATGGCAGATTGCACTGTCAAGATGCTGAATGGGGCAAGAAGGTAAAATAACCCATCTTTGAACATGGAGGACTCGCCCCCCGGTCTTCCCAGCTTCGATTCTCCTTCTCTAGTTTCTTCGATTCAGGCATTCAACTCGCTGAACAGTTGACTCCATCTTCTTTGAAGGCATCTATTTGTTCGTCAAGATGCTCTTCGTCCGCTCTTTATGTCTTTTTGCAATCGTGGCTGTGCGGGTGTCTTCTGCCGCACAGTCCTGGCAAGCTGCTAATGGCGACGAAGTTGTGACCGTCACACACACCAACACGCACTACGTGTGCCCCTGCGAGACGAGCACACCGGTGAAAAACCTCAATCCGGTTCCTACGGGCGGCTGGACGGATTGGGCGGCATCGGCATCGTCGAGTCCACTCGTCCGTGGGACAACCTCGTCGCGCCGGACTTCGACTGCAGGTCCTTGGTCCGGATCGGTGTCCTCGAGAACTACAAAGAAGACGACGGTCTCGAGCTCTGGTCCAGGCTATACACAGACCAGCAGCAGCACAAGTTCGCGCACGGTTGGCGGGACCATCTCTTTCACGTTCTCTTCCTCCACGACGTCTACTGCTTCCAGCACAAGCTCGGGCACGGTTGGCGGAACCATCTCTTTTACTTCCTCGTCCACCACGTCTGCTTCTCCCAACACTAGCGCGAGCACGAGCACGAGTTCTACAGAGTCAACCACTTCTTTGTCCAGTACGGAATCTCCTGCCACGACTTCTGCTACCACCACGAGCTTGTCTACGACCACAATCTCTAGCACCACTGCTGATGCTACCTCTACAACCACGTCTGACACCACGTCTACTACAACCTCTGATACCACCTCTACAACCACTGCTACAACCACGTCTGATACCACTACAACCACTATTCTTACCACAACCTCTGATGTAACTTCGACCACCACCTCTACAACCACCACTCCTGCCATAACTTCAACTACCACCTCTGAAACAACCTCGACCACCACAACCACCACCACCACCACCACAACCACGTAAGTCCCCCTCCCTCTGGGCCATGTCATCAGGGTGCCACCATTGGAGCTTGACACAAACTGACAAACACCAATAGATCCATCAACGCCTGCCCGACGGGCACCTACGTGATCCAGTCGAGTTTAGACAACAACTACGCCACGATAGGAGAATACGTTGGGGGCCAGTACCTCGTTGTCTTTAACCAACCGGCCATCGAGACCGCGGCCGAGTTCTCCTGGGTCGAGGATGTCGACGGCACGTGCATGCTCGGCCCGACCGCCGTTCCGGGGCTGAGCACCTACGTGCTTGATCAGCCCGGCGAGTTCGTGGCCTTCCACTACCTCTTCTTGTCGAACCCGAGCCTCGCAGCGGCTTCAGACCTGGAGCCCTCCGAAGTCGCCTGTAGCGTAGATTCGGCAAACGAGCTGTACTGCGCGGTCGAGGACCAGGACGTGTTGCAGCTGTTCAACAATGTCTTGACCATCGCAGCCACCGACCAGGGATATGGGACGGCCACGTTCACGTTGGTGCAGACTTTGTAAAGAGATGAAGTTCACATGCATAATGACAAGTTGATTCCGGGTCGGAGTCGTGTCGGTACGAGTCGAGTCTTTTTCAACATCACAACCTTGGGGATATACAGTCTTAGTGGAAGGAGTTGGTACTCAAGCAACCAAAGGACCGACCATTCTCCTAGCCAAGGGGTATCCTCTTCTATGTTCCCCTTCTGTTCACCCACCCTCTGTTTTTGCTTTCGCTTTTATTGCCCTTGTCCTTGTGACCCGACAATCCATCCACCTTCGGGTCTCAACACCAGATGAAATTCCTGGATCTACGCGAACGGCACCCGCCCGTCGAGTGGTGGGGTCATCTGGGGGGTGGGAAGGGCGATACGGTCGACGGTGGTATATATGTATGTATGTATGTACGTATACATGTCTGCCTCGATGATGTACATGGGTGCCTGGATACTAGGTATAGCCAAGTAGACAGAGGGTGTAAGATGTAGTTAACTGCCTAGGGCCACACTGACACTGATACCAGCACCCAACGCAACCAACAAGACACACTTGACATTACATGTGGTGTTTTGTGATGTGCGGCATTATGTACCTCAGAAGTGCCTACGATACATGTTGTGAGCCTCAGTGGGAGAAATTATGTCGATTCCTTTCTTCTCATTGTTCTGAATACGTAGGTCGGTAGGTGGGTTGGGACGCAGGCAGGGAGGGAGTATTGACTCGCGCAGCGTGAAGAGAGAGAGAGAGAGACGCACACATTACGTCGATAACTCAGTAAGTCTAATAGATGGCCATCGACGAACAGGGGACACTCTCGTAGCCCTAAAGAACCCGCTTAGCCGAAGTGCCTGCCAAAAGTAAATCTGCTTCGGGCGGGAGGATTCGGGGTTTTCTTTCAGGTACCAACCAGCCCTGTATCCAAACAGGGCCCAAAACCAAATCAAAGCCAGTTGTACAGAATGCAGAGGTTCTGTCTCTGTATGTATGGACCTAGGTGCACGTAGTTACTTTGCACACGCACGCCGAGTCTGCCATAGGTATATATGTGTGCTCGGTAGGCGTTCCTCCATCTCCCTCTTTCCTGTGGTCCGGACCACGGACAAAGGGCACACAATTACCTCCAAACAGACATCGACTGGGCCGCGAATGGGGAACCCAACCAGACTTCTTGGGCGAGTGCCTCGATGACGCCGTCCAATTCGGCGTCGCGTAAGGCAAAGAAAAGGCAAAACCAACCCCACCATGCCTCAGAAGGAGAGAGAAGACTTGTGGGGTTACGAAACGAAATAAAAACGGCCCAGGCAGGGAGGACGGGAGGGTTCAAGGGTGGATGATGCAAATCCGCCGAGGTTGACGCAGGCCGAGACAGGCGCGAGAGGATCGATCGTAGTAATAATAATAATTATGAGCAAACGAGGTAACCGATTTGATTCGATTTCAATTCAGCTGAGCCACAAAACACGCCGTGCACGCTTGGGATCGGGTATATTGTGGCTGGGGGACTTTCTCGGCAGGTCTATGAGTGTCTCTTGCAACAATAACGGCACATGATCTTGATTGAGAGGCGCAAGGACAAAAAGTCTGCTCTTGTTGCTTGCCCGATGGCTGGCTGGATGGATGACTTGGATGACTGGCTGTTGGAAAAAGTTTGCAAAATTCATGGCTCTTTTTCTTGTACAGACTTGGTTACTTGGTACTTTGGTACATATTATGCATCCCGAGGCGCATGCTCTGGCCGGCTTCTCTTGGTCCTCTCCACTTGCCCACCCGAGAGAACTACGAAATCCATTGCTCTCTCTCTCTCTCTCTCTCTCTCTCTCGTTCTCTTTATTTTCCAAAGTGATATAGCTGCCTAGGACCAAAACCCTCTGTTCTCTTCTTGCTTGATTGTCTCAAACACAGGTTCGGCACACTCAAAATCCATAGACGCAAACATGACTTCCGAGGCAGCCTCTTCTGCAGCCGCCGCGCCTTCGGGAGAACCGACACATCCCTCCGTCATCAAGGTCATCTACCGCCCAGGCGACTTCAGCTCCTACAGCGTCTCCACCACCTCTCTCCCACCAGGAGCGCTGATGGCCCGACTCACCAGCCCGCCGCTGACGTATGCGGAAAAAAAGCGCTGGTCCAGTGTCCAGGTGTCGGAGAACAAGCACATCGAGCTGAACTGCGACTTCCTGTACATCAACCACAGCTGCGAGCCGAGTCTGGAATTCCACGTCGTCCCGCATTCCGAGGAGCCCGTGATCGAGGTCAGGGTCGCGACGCGCCGGGACGAGAATGGGAATCCCAAGGGCGTGGAGCCCGGCGACGTCTTGACCTTCTTCTATCCCAGCACCGAGTGGGAGATGGACCAGCCCTTCCAATGTAATTGCGGGACCAGGAGCTGCAAAGGGCGCATCAGCGGCGCCAAGGACCTGACCAGCGAGCAGCTGCGAGGGTATTTCCTCAATGCTCATATTGAGGACCTCCGGAGCATTCCCTCCGACAGCGAAGGTAATAAGAATGGTGCGCAGAGGCAGGGAGGTTGGTGAATTGGTGGTAAAAAGTTCTTTTTTTTTTCCTGGTTTCCAGATACTTTGAGGACTCGCAGTCCCTTGCTGGGAGGCGAAGATTCTTTTTTTTCAATACACTTACCATGTATGCTCCGGTCTTGATCTCGTCGACTGGAACCAGCACGGCCGATCTCGCAGAGAGCCACCAGGCGGCCGTTCCAATGATGTGGGGTAGGGGACTAGTGTTCATATAGATGTGTGTACACACGAAAACCTTCTCACCAGCCGCAACAATCATTCCCCAGATTCTGTCGCAGAAACGCATGCCTATTCGCCATAACGTAGGCCGCATTGAATTTCCCTTCAAGTCGACGAAGTGAGGGCTCATCTTGGGGCTATTGAATTAAGTCGGGACCTCAAAAGCGGAAAAGGGGGAGGTGAGGCTAGTCGGGTTGATCAACGGTTCGACCAGATCACTACGGTATCGGAAAAAGAAGCACGACCTTTTTGCCTTTATGCAGTTGATAAATCATCTCGGAACTGTACAAGGACATATTGACATGGAAGGTTACAAAGGATCGTGCTCACGGTGAAGCGACGCTATCACTGGGGGAATCAGGCTAATCCTAAAAGGGAAGGAATACACTAGGCTGGTTTGCATCGACGACAGCAAAGTGGGTAATTACCCAATGAGTTATCTATCTATGGATTTAGATGCCTCGCAGAATCCCGCCACATGTCTGGACTTACATGCTATGATACTGAGGTCTTCCTAGGAAAGGTAGGCGTAAGCTATCACGGGACGGCCGCGCACTGGCCGAAGGGAGGTTGTCTGGACTACAAAATGCGGCGCGTCTCGTCCGTGGACTCAGTCGAGAGCTGTTGTCTTTTGATTCTTCACATCGAATATCGAGCCTCACCCTCAATATGCGCAGTACTTTTTTGTACAGCGTTGCAGCACTGACTGCCTGTTCCTCTGCTCTGGCCGTTCCCACTACCAGTAATGGTCGACAAACGAGCCTCAAGGGTGGCGACGACGACGACTATGACCTCGAGCCGTCAGCAAACTTTGCATTCTCGGGCATCACCACGTTTGCCAAACTTCCCTCGGTGCAGTGCCTGACGGAGACGGGACCGGTGGACGACATCCTGATCCTAGGATTTCCCTTCGACACGGCCACGTCGTACCGGACCGGCACGCGCCTGGGGCCAAATGCCGTGCGTCAGGGTTCTCGAGCAGCTTCTCTAGCGTATGTTTCAATACAAACCCCTTGTGGGGTTGTTGGTGATATTAGGGAAGTGAACTGATCAACTCGAGAGGAAGTGGCCACTACAACTACCGCCAGTCAATCAACCCGTACAAGCACAACATCTCGGTCGTCGATTGTGGGGATTTGCCCATTTCGCCGTTCGACAACGGTCTCGCCTTCGCCCAGATGGAGGAGTGGTACAAGCGGCTTTTGTGGAGGGAGGTCAAGTCCACGGAAAAGGGAGTCTGGTCCTCAAAGGTATTCCCATTCCCCAAACCAGCCACCTATTTACACAAACCCCCGGAAGGGTTATTTCCCCCCCCCCCCCCCCCCCTTTTCTTTTCGAAGAAATAGTGTGTTGATTACCGAAAAAAAAAGACCGGTAGACACCACCCCCAAATCGTCGCTCTGGGCGGCGACCACAGCATCTCCCTCCCGATCCTGCGCGCGTTGAACACGGTCCACGGCAAAGTCTCGGCCGTCCACATCGACGCGCACATCGACACGTGGTCGCCCAAGGTGTTTGCGGGCGCCAAAGCCGGGAGCAAGCAGGCCCAGTTCGCCGACGGCACGCCGTACTATTGGGCGGGGATGGAGGGGTTGCTGAGCGCGAGGAACGTGCACGCGGGGATCCGCTCGTCGCTGGATTCGGAGAAGGACATGGAGCTCGACGAGGAGGTCGGCTTCGTCACCATCCCCGCCGCGGACATGCTGAAGCGCGACGGCGTGTGGGGCGTCATCGACCAGATCCGCGCTGTCGTCGGCACTTCGGGAGAGCCCGTCTACGTCTCCCTCGACGTCGACTGTCTCGACCCGGCCTTCGTGCCCGGCACCGCCGGCCCGGCCTCGGGCGGCTGGACCCCCCGCGAAGTCATCCAGATCATCATCGACGCGCTCGATGGGCTGAACATTGTGGGTGTCGACGTCGTCGAGATTCTGCCCTCGTTGGACCAGGCTGAAATCACGGGCATCGTCGCCGCCGAGTTTACTATCGAGGTATGTCATGATATGATCACCTACTTCCCCTCCGAGTCAGGACGACTCAGGAGACTTGTACTAACCTGAAGACACAGCTTATTACCCGACTGGTTAGGAACAGACTCGGTCTATGAGCCCGGGGTGTTTGTGGAGGGTAATTGTAGCCGTGTGGCGATAGTGACCTAGCGATAGGGATTATTTATGTATACTTCTCCTTGGAGTCTTTTCGTCCAAATGAGCTACCTGTTCGGAATCTAGATCTGAACAGATGTGATGGAGATCAGTCGGCCACGGGACTTGATTTGTTGTTGATATGTCCACTTAAGCTGTCCATCTCATGTTATACATCCCTTAGAGTCTGTCTATTTCAAAAACTGGAATCCTCATCCTTGACAAACCCTGAGGAGGAAGGGACATAGGAGGAATTCTTGCGCGGGCAATTGGAAGACATTTCCGGAAACATAAAATGACTGCTACTTATGACAAGAACTTTTTTCATCCACTGTTGAACTGTCTGAGGTGGCTGACGATACCTCTTAAACAGACCCTCCAAGCATCCTCGTCTGTGATAGGAGATCTAATTCTATATCTCGAGTCGTCATGCTAGGAAGACGTCCGAGTATACACATCCTAGTCCGATGAGGCATGTAACCTAGAAACATCTCTAGCCAACTGCTTCCACCGAATGGTCAGAATGCAAAGAGACTGCAGGACGAGAAGTGCGCCGCTCCCTGAGATGATGCCCGCCCACAAGCCAAAGACGCCGTACTGCTTGCGAAAGCACAGGAACCACGCCGTCGTCAAGCCCACGCCGTAATACGCCACGAAATTGCAGACGCCCGCCAAATGAGTCTTTCCCGCACCTCGAAGGATGCCGCTGGCGCCGCCGTTGGAAAGATCCAGGACCTGGAAGCCAGCCATCAGAGGGAGCACCTGGGCCGTCTTTTTGATGACGGCCTCGTCGTCGGTGAAAATGCGGCCGTAGCTCTTTCTGGCAAGCATGATCCCGACGAATTCGATGGCCCCAATGATGAATGAGAGGAGGTATGGTGTGGCCACTGCTCTCCGCGCTTCACGACTCCTGCCGGCACCGAGAAAGCCGGCGATGCGATGGCTGGAAGCTACGCTTATTCCAAGGGCCACCGTCGTGAGCAGCAGGTCGGAAGACATCAATATCTGCAGGCCAGGTCAGCAGAGGCACTTGGCCGACTGAGAGGGGATCGAAGGCTTACGCTCTGGGCTCCAATAGAGCTGGGATCCAGCCTTGCAGCCATCATTGCAAGTATCTCAAAGCTATGACACAGGTCAGTCTCAAGGAGGAACAGCAGAAGATGTTCCAAACTCACCTCCACCATTCTGTGGCACAAGTAAAAATCCCCGTGACGGCATAAAAGAGCAAACGCAATATCCCCTTCTCAATGCCAACGATAGACCCGCGCCAGGTCTTTCTGACGGCAGGTTTCATAGAAATGATGCAAAGCAGGGCAACAACCGTAACAAACTGGTAGATGCAGAAGGCACAAGGGACCCCCCAGAGATGCATCGTCGTCCATCGAACAAGCACGAAGGTCACTAGAACCCCAAAGCAGCTGGCCACGGCAGTAGACACTCCAACAATATTGCTTTCGCCCTGAACCTGCAAAAACTTCTTCAACGACTCGGCCACAATCTGCAACACGCCGGCGGGGAGCATGAGGACCAGAAACTTGCCTGTCGCAAAAGCAAAGTCTGGCTGCTGACCCAGGGCGATGAAAAGGTGTCCGGAAAACACCCAGATCGGCGCAAAGAAGATGCCAAAGATTGCAAGCAATACAATCAAGCACTGCTGCAAGAGGAGGCCGAGGATCTTGGGATTGTCTGCGACCGAGTGGGATGTGAACGCCTGACCGCATAACGTGTCCAGTGCTGTTGCGCCGCCGATGGCGATCATAGTGCCAGTGCAGGAGAAGAACATGAACCCGAAGGACGTAACTCCCAGCTCGAAGGAGCCCAGACTGCCGCCGACTATCAAGGCGCTGATTGCTTGTACTGCATTTTGTAGAGCGAAGGAGAGACATATGGGAATCGTCCGGCGGATGAGCGCACCAAGGTCGTGCCAGATATCGAAGGCGACATCCTCTTCCTTGGAGGCAATGGACGAAGTCCGGGAAAGCAGCAAGCTACGCTCGTCGACAACGTTTTCTCCCATGCTGATGATTCTTTGTGGATGGCGGTGTCAGTGGCACTCTCGAAACACCGGAGGGCGGGTGAGTTATGTAGAAGATCCTTGACCAAGTACATACTGTCGATAGGGTATGTGTACGTGTCCTCCGACACTGTCCAAGGCATTTCCTATTCCCCACAAAGTATGCCGAAGGACATGTCCGACAGATGTAGATAATAAATAATCCTCCTAATAATCCCGTGCATTCTGCTTGATATGCTTGTCCATCATCTGATTGGCCAGTTCGCTCTGGTGGTGCTGCGCTAAGCCTAGAAGGGAAGGCAGACACTATCTCTCTTTTTCCTCGAGATCCGACTGCATCGACGTTTCTTTCCTCCTTGACGCGCGTGAGCATCTCGACAACGGGAACAACTTGGAAACGCGAGCATTGGATATTTTGCACTGCCCAATGGGTCTTGCCTGCGTCGAATCGGCCACCGGAGCAATCCTATCCGCTGCGCTTTAGCGGCTTCAGCGCACGCGACTTCGGACCCTCTCCAACGCATCGCTATGGCATCTGCTATTGACCGGACTGGCTGATCTTCCTGCACGCCACCACTGCGAGCAGCGCCTTGGCAGAGGACTATGGCAGAAATGGAATCCAATGCAGGCCAGCGTCAAAAACGGTCACGTTCCGGCTGTGACGAGTGTCGCCGGCGCCATTGGAAATGCAACGAGGCGAAACCGACATGCTCTTATTGTCAGAGTGTTGGCCGTCCCTGCGTTTACTCCCGCAAGCTCTCTTGGGGCGGACGTCAGTTTAAAAAGTCCCGTTTCGGGAGGTGTCTGGAATCCGGAGGAGCAAAGGCCGTCAGCATTGAAGCCTCGAGTCGTAAGTTTTAATGACGAATGTATCGAGTTATCTGGCTCACTCTGACAAAGACCAACTGTCACCGGGTAAGGACTTTATTTATACATGTTCGTCGAAAGGGACAGACAATATTGCGAGCCGTGAGGGAAGTACATCTGAACTTGGGCATGGGACGTGTGAAAGACCACAGGACGATAACGCGGATTCGACCCTCTGTCTCGAAATCCCTGCAACACCTCATCCACCAACCCCGGCTCTGATGTTAAGAGAAGAATCCAAGCCCCTATTCGACTACTTCATCAACCGAGTGACCATATCAATTTCCTGCCACAAAGGAATTCAAGATGAAATCTGCTCGGTCATTGTTCCTATGGCGATGCAGGTTCCTCATCTACTGACCGCCACCCTTGCTCTAGCTGCAGCTCACCGACATACATCCGGCCTGTTTGAAGGCGACTGTCAATTTGAGCTCATGAAGGGGAGCAGTCTGATGCAGTTGAGATCGGCCTTGGACCGGTTCAGCCCGTCCGAGAATGACAAAGTCCTTGCTACCACACTGCTCTTGTGTCTAGCCGACGTGATATCCCCGGCTACGAGCACGTCATCATGGAGGCCACATCTGTACGGTGCTGCGACCCTCTCTGCACAACACAGCCGCTCAAATGGTGCCAGTCTATCATCGATTTCGAGTTTTCTCATGAGGAAATACCGGGCGCTGCAGGCCGTTGCTCTGGCCTGCTGCTCTAAACGGTTCGAGGCGCAGATACTGACCACGCCCTACAATGAAGTCGATGCTCGTATTGACGACCTAGCCGGGTACTCTACGACCCTGATGCCGATCTTAGAGGAGATCAACGACCTGGAGCCACTACGGGAAGACGGTGGTTCCGAATTCTCCTGCGACTCCCCTCCTGGGCTACCACATTTTGATTGCAGCTCGCCTCTGGAGCACAAATCACATTTGCTGTTCGACCGCGTCAGAGCACTAATGGCGAAAAGGAAGATGTCACGGACGCAGGGTGGTGGTGGTGGACATCTTCCATCATCCGTATACCACGACCTATACCTCGTGGACGAAGCCTACCATCACATGGCACTTCTACAGATCTTTCGCCGTGGATCCTTGTCCGTCCCTCTGCAGGTGATTGACAACAGCAGACGCTCAATCCTGGACTGTCTTGCTGCTGTGACATATCAATCCGGCCCATGTCCAGGCGTGGCCACGCTGCCACCTCTGTTCGTGGCGGGCACCCTCTGTACGACCAAATCGGACAGAGACAAGGTGCGCGGCTTGCTGAGGACCATGTGGATGCACTATGGGATGGGGAACGTGAAGTCTTGTCAGACCGTGTTACAGAGGTGGTGGAAGCACCAGGATGAGAGTCTCGCCAAGGCCCCTTTTCCAGAGAGGCTGTATGATTGTCAAGGTAAGATGGAATTTTGTGTCTCTGCCATGTGTCCAGACTGACCGGGACAGCAGTCGACGATGATGTCCTGCCGTATTAAAGGACGGCGTTCTAGAACAAGTCACTCGGAAAATGCCCACTTCTCATGTTCAGGGGTCAGTCTTGTCGGTCGTCGGGTGTAGCAAGCAAGATACGCAGATCTCTGCCACCCCGGCCGGTGACACTCTCTCATTGTGTGGTTAGCCGGGTATCCAGGCACACAGAAATCGAGATCAATCCAATAAAGATCATTCGCAATGTTTTTACCCCTGTCTGAATATGTACGAGGTAGTTTTGCGCGGTTGAGCAGTCCGCAATGTCTTTTACCCGGTCACATGATGTAAGATCCAGCCACGTGAGAGCAGCCCCCAGACTAGCGGTCCAATCGCTGAGCCTGGAAAGCGGCGAGGCTACTAAGCAGGGAGCGCCGGGGTTTGAGTGGCAGTTCCTACCGCCGCAAAGATGTCCGGGCATCACCCAACAACTGGTTGCCCACCACCCTTCGTACAGGTCCCCTAAACAAAGTATTTCTGATGCCCTCAACTCCCCTGTGGCGGCGCCCTTTCGTTCTCTAACTAAAGCACCCCAGCGTAAAGATCCCTTCAGCCCCGTCTCGCCCATTTACAGTCTTACCCACAACACGCGTGGATTCCCACCCAATTTTTTTTGATTTCCCGCCTTCTTCTCGTGTCAATTTATTACTGGAACAGAAAATAATGTCGGCCTTGACTCCATCTCTTTATCGTACACAGTGCTTGTCCTCTTCGCTCTTGTCTCCGTTATCGCGTCACAGTCCCTTAGCACGCACGGCACGCTCATTATCTGCTACTCGTTGCTCCCCCGCACGTCTCGTGCATCGGCAATCGCACGTCCAATCGCCCTCAGCATCCCCCACCATCGTTTACAAGTCGACCAGGCTTGCCAGGAAATTTTTCAAGCTGGCTCCCTCTCGCTCACGTCCATATTCCCAAGCCTCAAGTCGCCTGAGCTTGATCTCACGACACCTGGAACAGCACCAGCAATCCTCCTACCCTCGTATCAACACTCCCTATACGATTGAGCTGGACTCGCTGCCGGCCTCCACAGACGACATTCCCTACGTGCCGCCAGCACCTCCCGCGGATCTCGCGAAAACACCCTCTCAGATTCAGAAACGTCAACTGTCCACCTCATCCGCCGCCAAAATGTCCTCGCAACCTCCTCACCCTTCCCTGCTCATTCCGGGGCCTATCGAAATCACCGATGAAGTCTCCCAGGCCATGAGTCACTATGCGCAGTCCCACGTCGGACAACCATTTGTCAACACATTTGGCGAAACCCTCACACTATTGAGGGATCTATTCCAAACCAAAAACCCCGGTTCTCAACCCTTTGTCCTGGCCGGCAGCGGCACCTTGGGCTGGGATCTCGTGGCAGCCAATCTGGTGGAACCCGGTGAAGATGTTTTGGTGTTGCACACTGGCTATTTTGGCGACTCGTTTGCGGACTGCCTGTCAACCTACGGCGCAAAGCCTACGCAATTGAAAGCCCCCATTGGGGACAGGCCACAACTGCCCGAGATTGAGGCAGCACTAAAGGAAAAGAAATATAAGGCGGTGACGGTCACACACGTCGATACCTCGACCGGAGTGCTCTCGCAGATCCAACCTCTTTCCGACCTCATCAGGCGTGTGTCTCCCGAGACGCTTCTGATTGTGGACGGCGTGTGCTCTGTCGGAGGAGAAGAGATCAACTTTGACAAGATGGACATTGATGTGTGCTTGACCGCATCTCAGAAAGCCATCGGCTGCCCGCCTGGTCTCTCGATAGTGATGGTGTCGGAGCGGGCCATGAACGTGTACAAGTCGCGCAAATCCAGCCCGGGAAGCTACTATGCCAGTTTCAAGAACTGGACGCCCATCATGCAAAACTATGAGGCGAAGAAACCCTCGTATTTTGCCACCCCACCCACCCAGCTGGTCCAAGCCCTCAACACGTCGCTCAAGCAGATCCTCGCACAGCCCCTGGAAGCCCGCTTCGCCCAGCACCGCAAGGTGAGCGAATACGTCAAGTCGAAAGTGGCAACCCTGGGTCTGAAGCAGTTGGCCACGGACCCAGCCAATGCCGCCAACACCATGACGGCAATTTATTTACCCGAAGGACTCACTCCTCCCGAGATCCTCCCCAAGCTGATGTCCCGGGGAGTTGTCTTCGCCGGTGGCCTGCACCGGGAGATTGCGGCGAGATACATTCGTTTCGGTCACATGGGTGTCTCTGCCATGGATGAGTCGAGGGGAGAAATCGACAAGGCACTCGAGGCGTTGAAGGACGGGTTGGCAGAGGTGGCGAGTGCCAAGAGCAAGTAAACGTGCTATCGTATGGGAGAGCCATAGCATGAAAGGATGAGTCATATGGACTTCTGAAGTAAGAAGCAGGGGGGAGAAAACATCGCAGGTATCGTGCAAACGAGCCCCCAATGAACGTCCTCGAGACGGTGTGGCATGTATTCTCGGTTCATTCAAACCAAACCACGACGAGTCGATAGATATCTGGGTCATGGTCAAAGCCCTACCTGGCGCTATATACATCACTTACGTACCCAGGTACCGAGTACATATGAAGACACCACGTCCCACGCCACCCTTGACTCTAGGAATAGATGCCAAAAGGCATGTATTTGCCAACTAACTAGGTATCTATAGTAGGTACCTATAGTAAGAAGGTAGATGGATCCTCGTAGTTCTTTTTGTCTATATCATCCCACATGCCTTGATGTCGTTATTACCAAAAGTCATTACTTAAGCCACCGCCGTTGAACGAAGACCAACCAGACCCGTGACATGACATGACATGACATGACATGACATGACATGGTATGGTATGGTGGATGTACCTGTTCATCCACCATTCTCTTTCCATATTCAAAAATACACGGCCAAGCAGGCAGGCCAGTAGGAGGAGCCTGACTCAACCTGACTCGGCCCAACTCGACTCGATTTCCCGAGACCAGAACTCCGAGCTATGCGTGAAATCTTAAATCTGTATCGTATCATAACACATGACCAAGGGAACCAACCGCCTCTATCTTTCTTTTGTGGTTTATGTATCAAGTCTCCGGTGCTCTTATCCGATGTGCTGCGCAGGTTAAAGGGCCAAATGTGGCAGAGAAAGGTAACGAGGATGAAACAGATGGTGAAAGATGAAAGATGTAACTTTTTAGGCAGAGTCGTTGAAGCGGCTCCGCGAGCGGATCTTCTTGCCGTATCGGTAGAAGAAGAATCTACAACACCCAAGGCCAATGGTGGTTAGTTACATTTCTCAGACCCTGAGTTTATTGGGAGGAAAACTTACGGCATAGGTACACAGGCCAAAGCGAGGAAGCCCAACAGTGAAGAGGCCCACTGGTAATTGAGGTTTTGATACACTGGGGAAGGCATATGTTAGTACTCTGGAAGTTCAATATCATACAAGAAGGAATAGAGAGGGAAAAGAGCGGCGCAGAGTAAAGTAGGTGTCAACACTCACTTTGGGTCCCGAAAAGGGGGAATGCGCCCGCAAACAACAGTCGGACGAGACAGTTGGCTGCCACTGCGCTGGCGGCGAAGCCGGGGTACTATTTGGAACGAGTTAGATGCTGGAGGTACTCAAAACGACTAGGCGGAGAAAAGACAACTTACTGCATCGACAAGAAAGGTCAAGATGCCGGTGAAGGCTAGGAACAAGCTATTTGTTGCTAGATGTCAGCAATTATTTCATTTACCACTTGCGCGCGAGGAAAAGGAACCACTTACCCAATGCCGAAGACCGCGCTGCCGATGATGGGCACGATCCAGTGCACGCTCGAATAAGTCGTCCAGCCGAACCAGAACAAACCAATGGGGACAAGGATGCCCCCGAACATGGCGGGTGGCAAACGATACTCTGGCTCGGGTTTGATGCCGACCTGCCCAGTCTGCTCCTCGAGCTTCTTCACCAGCTTGACGTAGTTCTTGTGCCAGAACGGGTCGGTCAGGACACCGATGGTGATGCCGATGAGGAGGCCAATGAAGGTCAGCCCAACCTGGTACAGCGAGAAGCCGTGGTTGTTGCCGAAGACGAGCGGGAATGCGCCGAAGAACAAATATACTATTCCCAGCAGGATGGCAGCGTAGATGCAAAGCAGCAGGCACATGGGCTCGAAGAATAAGAGCTCAAATGGCACAGAGCACGAGTGTATGACGGTGCCGAGGATACTGCGGTTGAGTTTCTCAATAGGTGCGTACCACTGGCTATCTCCAGTGTCCTTGCGCTTCTGCTGAGCGCGTTTCTTGAGGAGGACTTTGTGGTAGGTCTCGGGCACGAAGAAGATGACGAGGACCAGTAGGACGCCGGTCCAGATGAGGAGCATGTAAAAGGTCCATCGCCTGGCCAATGGTCTCTGGTCAGCGTTGCCATAAAAGAGAGAAAACGAACAACATACCATGTGGTAAACTGATTAATCAATCCGCCAATTATCGGCCCAAGTGCGGGACCCAGAAAAGGCGAGGCTGTGAAGATCATCATTGGAAACTCGATATCCTTGGGCTCAAACAGATCGGCCACAGTCCCCGCAGCCACGGCGAGGAACGCACTGCCCGCGAAGCCGTCGAAGAACCGGCACACAATCATAGTCTGGATGTTCTGGGCCACGGCGCAGGGGATTATCCAGATGAGGAAGAAGAACATGGACACGATGTAAATGGGCCTTCGACCGTAGAACTCGGATAGCGGGCCCAGCAGCATAGGTCCAAAGGCTAAGCCCACGACAAACAGAGACAAACCCAGGGTGGCAATCTCTCTGGAACAATGGAACTCTTTCATGAGCTGCCCATAAGTGGTGGTATAGACGGACGAGGTAAATGTTCTGGTAGGTCTGAGTCAGTAGCTGTAACAGAGCGTAGGGACAACAAAGCGGTCATCCTACTTACACGCAAAGGGAAGCAACTGAAGTGATCAAAACGATGATCCATTTCCTGGCGACGTTGAAGTTGCGTGGATTTTCCTTGTCGCCTGGTCCATCCCAACGAACTTCGTAGGGGGTCGTCTTGATACGTTCCGCCGAATCCTGGTCAGTTTCGTCTCCCTCGACATCGTACACTGAGTAGCCATCAGTAGCCACGGAGCGTACGCGGCCAACGGTTTGCGACCGTGTAGCTCCTGCCCCCGTAGTAGAGGTGGAGGTTGGGTGAATGGTCTCTGCTTTTTCCAGGTCGACATTGGACTCGACTGGGGAACCGAGGGTGTTGACACTGGTGGAAGAGGAGGAGGCATCTTGGGGTCTCTCGAGATCAGCCATGTCTGACACCTTTTGTCTTGTCCTTTCCTATATCACTGTCGGATGCGCCAAAGCCTCTGGAGGATATATTCAAGAGCTTGTCGCAACAAGGGATGTTCTAGGTCGATGTGGACAGTTGTCAATGTACACAGAACGCGGCATCGCATCCCAATGCTTGGGAATATATACAGCATTGTCTGCTACAGCCCTGACAAGCGTGATTCGTCTATATCTTTACCCAATCTAGCGCCGCGGGCTTCGGGGTTCGGGATTCCTCCAACGACGAAGTCGTGCGCGATTTGCAGCATTCTAGATCCGAGTGTCGATTGTTAGTAAGCGCCCAACAGGCCAGTTAGCGACAGGTTGGAGATGTGGGTGAGGATGCGAGGATCTACCTGAGGCTACCGGGTAGGGTTTGAGGAGCCAGAGCGGACCCAGTCTTCTCGTACTGCTCGTACTGCTCGTACGTCCTCGGCGATTAACATCGCTCGTAGAAGGAGAAAGTCGGGTTTATGACGGTGTTTCAGTCCTTGTGTCTGTTACGAGTACTCAATAATTCATGGTTTGCTCCCAGCTCTTCCAGGTACACGGACATCTTGTTGCAGGTGTAGATCTTGGGTCCTCAGGCATTGATTACTACACGTAAACAAGACTCTCTAGTAGTGATTTATCAGCAAAAGTATGCGACGTCCCAATATCCGCAGAAAACTCACTTTGTCGCTAAGGCTGAGTTTCAACTCTTGTGGTGTAAGCAAATTGGCGATGGTGTTATTGTCTCTCGGGTCCCAGTTTCGTATGCTCACTGCATCTGAAACCATCCCAAGATCGATGAAGAACCCATGCCGAGCAGAGTTGAGATCTAGGTACAGATGATAGTTGCTGCTGACCAAAGCGTTATTACGTCGTTGTACTGAAGGGGAAGGAAGTTGGTTGTGTGGAACCGGGAGTTGGTCTTGTACGAAGTGATGCAGTACGAATGACTACCTCATGAGCGACGCCCGCAACGCCTCCTACGTTGGGTCGGGGTGCTTATCCGCTAACGCCTAGCGTCCCTAAGCCTCCTGCGGGCCTATCCAGTCCCGCGGTGCTCAATCCTCCCATTATTGCGTGCGTGGCTTGCATGTCCTTATGGCCACCAAAAGTCCGTCTGGTCGCACACCATTCCAGAAGGTACAAGGTTGTCCGATATCTCCCCCTTGCTGTCAGATATCGTAAACAGGGATTGTCCAAATCAGAGCAGTTCAGGGAGAGAAAAGGATGGCACCCTCTCCCAGCGCCGAAATTACTAGGACTGCCTCTCTCTCACTTCAGCAATGCCTGCCTGACTATCTTGCCCAACCCAGCTAATCTATCCCGTGGCTCGTTCGAGAAGACAATCCGTATATACTGAGATTCTTCATCAGAGCCCCAGCCAACCATCGGGGTGACGCAGGCTCCTTGTGCCAGGAGTGCTTCAGCGGCAGCATCGGCTGTCCAACCCAGCGTGTCGACACGCAACAACAGCGACCATCCTCCGCTCGGCTTGCCAACGGGCAATCCCTCGAGTTCCTTGAGGCACAGATTCCTCCGAAACTGCAGTTCGTGAACATAATCGGCAATCGTTGTCTTGGACTTTTGAAGGGCCTCCTTCGCAGCTCGTTGCGCAATACCTACAGGGACAACAACATTGGCCATTGACACTAAGCCGATATCCTGCATAATGTGCTCGGGACCAACAATCCAGCCTACTCGCCAGCCGATCATGCGCAGTTCTTTCGAGGCCGAGCCTACGGTTATGGTCCGATTCGCCATATCGGGCAGGGATGCTGGGTGAATAACCTGCAAGTTGTCGAATAGCAGACGCTCCATGGCCGCGTCATATATCAACAGTATATCATGCTTGACACAAAGCTCAGCAATGAGCGACCAATCTCCACGGTCGAGGTAAGCGCCGGTCGGCATGCTCGGGGACATCAGAAGCATCGTGGTTATCTTGTTGTCTGGCGACTCGACTATTTCTCGCAGCTTCTGCCGGTCCAAGGACCACGATTCTCCCGGATGAAAATGAAGGGGGACCAGATGTGGGACTCCCCCAGCGAGCCGGACACGATTGAGCAGTCCCGCGTACACAGGTCCTGTCAAGAGAACACCATCCCCCTCTTCCACGGAAGCCATAAGGGTGTTGAGTATACCGCTGAGACCCCCGGCCGTGATGATGCAGTTTGCCTCACCATTGTATTTGACCACCCCTTGGGTCATGGAACTCACATGCTCAGCGACGGCATTCCGTAGGTCAATCTGGCCGAGGAACGGTAGGTAGCTGTTGTCGTCATCGTTTGTGGCAGCAGCAGAGGTCAGAATCTGCACAATGTCATCGGGAGGAATGTCGACGTCAAGATTCTCTAGCCGTAGCAATTTGTCAGGGAGAGGGCCTTGTTGGGACTGTTTCCCCGTCGCCTTGACCTTGTCCGCAATGTTGCCCATCTTATCGACCCCTATCCCGTGAAGGGCCTGAACCCTCTTTGGTCGGTTGCGGTTCATGTTCACGCGAGCTCTGCAATACTAAAGAGAGACGTGAGGTGGAGGATTGAAGTTCCTGGAAGGGAAGTGTTGATCGAGGATCTCGACGACGTAGGGGAGGTTAATAAGGAGAGTAAAAGTTACGCCCTGTGACATGGTTGGCCATCCGTGGGGCACGCCCAGGAATTGTGAGGCTCAGATCTCTTGGATGCCTTTATCACCTGCAGGGAGTCGAGCAACATTTTCGCATCGCCTGTGGAGAACGTCTGGGTAAAGGCACCCTGAAAATGAAGATATAGCAGGATACAGAAGTGCCTATTGAGGACGTTGTATGAGAATTATTTCGCAGCCCTGGAGAGCACGTACCGATACTTACATAATGCTGGGGTTGCCCGAGCCGCCTAACTTGTCCCTTAGCGTCCACTGGGTGATCGACCGGGACACCCGTTGGGTTCCAGGCGCCTAATCCTCCAGGCGGGCGGCGCCTAAATTTCACCTGTCTCGCGTCAAATTGCGCTAACACTGTCACTGGAAGAAAGGCTCCTTAGCTTCCTGCGTCCCTAAGTAGATAGTCATTGTCAATAATACAATGAGACATGCATCTACTCATACCCCCTTGCTGCATTCTGAGTAAATACAAAGCCCATATGGATCTTACTCTCTCTTTCGTCCTGCCAACTTCATCTGCTGATCAAGGCCTACATCTCGCCGTAGCGACTTGCAAACTCGGTCCGACGCAGATCTCCAGTACAAACGAAGAGATGTTACACGGAGGACGGAGCGACGTATTTTGCCATCCAGCGCCTCTCTTGCGTGATGGCCACACCTGCTTTGCCCATCACAAACCACCACAACACGTTCCTTCTTCCTTTCAAGATGCAGTTCTTAATGAGAACCAGTCCTCCAGACGATGATATGATCGGGACATCTATTTCAAAGAGTAGAGACGGAACAGGAGATTGATTCCCAAGCAAGAGAAAGAAGCCTGTCCTCGGGCCTGCACGTGACTGCCTGGGTGAGCGAGAGAGACGCCTGACGGGATCCCGCCATGTCCACTGTATTCGTCGGCAGCAGCAGGCATCGACACCTGGACGATGAGCTGGCATCGAACTGCTCCTCAATCTCTCTAGACGAGCAGGCTGAGGCCCTTCTGAAGCCACCTGAGAAAAAAATAGATCCAGCGAGCGCGTCACCGAACGATGCCCCTCCCCTGGGTCTCCCGCATCATGAAAAGAGGTTTTGGTTCCAGAGAGGTCAAGCATATGATCCTCACGCTATCGCAACTCAAGTATAACATCGCCGCTCTTGGGGACGACTGTACGGAAGACTGATTGATTTGACAGCCAAGCGTGTTTGATAACCCGGATACGGCCAGGGAGTACCAGCCGCGACCAGATTGGCATGTTTTGTATTCTCCCACGCATTGGAGCAGCGGCTAACAGCCTGTCAAGGGAGAACATCCACCATTTTGACCCGTCTGCTCGATGGACCTGGGGCGAAGAGTACAGATTGATTCGAAAGATTGATGTGCGGATTATGATCTTTGCCTGCATCATGTTCATGGCACTGGAGCTTGATCGCGCCAACATCACCCAAGCCTTGACGGACGACTTCCTCAAGGACCTTCATTTGAACACCAATGGTGAGTACTTCGTTGAGGCACAAGGCCTAGCTTTGGGGGGTACCTGATAAGCTGACCCCTTTACCCAGACTACAATCTCGGTAATACGATCTTCAAGCTGTCCTTCCTCTGCGCTGAGGTCCCGTCTCAATTGGTGTCTAAATGGGTCGGCCCCGATCGCTGGATCCCCATGCAGATGGTCCTGTGGTCCCTTGTCGCCGTAACACAGTTCTGGCTCAAGGGGCGAACTACCTTTCTTGTCTGTCGGTGTCTGTTGGGGGTTTTGCAGGGCGGCTTCATCCCAGATGTGAGAGTACCATCCGTCTTGTCATGAAATTTTCTCACACAACAATCTAGGTCATTCTCTACTTGTCGTATTTCTACAAGCATCACGAGCTGTCGTTGCGGCTGGGCTTCTTCTGGACTGCCATGAGCTTGGCCGATATTACCTCCGGCTTTCTGGCCTACGGGGTCCTCCACATGAGAGGGGTGCAGCAGCAGTCTGGGTGGCGATGGTTGTTTCTGATTGAGGTACAACGTCGTTCTTCTCTGTGTAAATCGATTGCAGTTTTGCTGACGCAAAGAAATATGCTAGGGGCTCTTGACATTGTTCATCGGCATTTTAGCGTTTGGGCTAATGCCTGCATCTCCCACGCAGACTGCAAGCTGGCTCCGCGGGCGCAATGGATGGTTTACACACAGGTAGGGACGCTCCAGAGCTACAAGAGGAAGTTCGCTTGTTTTGCTGACCAGATGTAGAGAAGAGATCATCATGGTCAACAGAGTGATCCGAGACGATCCCAGCAAAGGAGGCATGCACAATCGGCAAGCCATCACTCCCAGCCTGCTATGGCAGAGTTTGAAGGATTTTGACCTCTGGTGAATACTGCGTGCTTGTTGTCGCGCTTCTTCCAAGTCTGTTACGCTGACCGTGCTTCTTGGTGATTAGGCCGCTGTATATCCTGGGACTCACGTTCCAGATCCCCATGACTCCCGTCCAGCAATATCTCACATTATCTTTACGCGGCCTCGGGTTCGACACATTCCAGACAAACCTGCTTGCGATTCCGTATACCGTCTTCCACAGTATGTGTCTCAGACTAAAGAATCAACCAAATGGATGGGCCCAGCTAACAACCATTCTCTACCAGTGATCAACATGATGCTCCTGACCTACGTGGCCGAGATTTTGGGAGAGCTCACGTTGACGGCCATGACGGGCCAGCTCTGGGCACTGCCGTTCCTGATCTTCTTCAACCGCGTCGACACGTCGCAGATGAACAAATGGGCCATGTGGGCCGTCACGACGCTTTTGTTGAGCTACCCCAATGGTGAGCAGAGACCTCTTTCTCTCCCCAGGATTGTCGGAAAATGTAGGGAAGTTTGTTCAACTAACGAGGCTTGAAACATTTGCTTCTAGCCCACCCGATCCAAGTCGGCTGGAACTCGCGCAACTCGAATGCTGTGCACTCGCGCACCGTGTCGGCGGCCATGTACAACATGTTTGTGCAGGCCGGGGGGGTGATTTCGTCGAATGTATACCGCCAAGGTGAGCTTTTGCCCTCCCCCGTGCCTATAGAGAATGATATTCACTTCTCTTGTCAATTTCTCCATGACTCCAATCACACACACATACACAGATACGTGTGCTAACCGTGTCTATGAACAGACGACGCCCCTGGCTACAAACGCGGCAACCGCGTCCTCCTCGCCGTCAACCTCGTCAACATCGCCCTCTACCTGGGCACCAAGACGTACTACGTGCTGCGCAACCGGCGGCGCGACAGGCGGTGGAATGCCATGACCGAGACGCAGCAGTTGCAGTACCTGGCCAGAACGAGGTCGAGGAGCGACCAGGACCGAGAGGTGGGGAATAAGCGGTTGGATTTTCGGTTTGCGCATTGAACACCATATACGCATACGCGCATATACACCATTCTGCACGCAGAGAGAGATATATATACAGACAGCCACATACATATACATGACCTACAAGGAACGAGGAGTCAGGACTAAGGACTGAGGAGTCAGACCGCGGAATAAGGAGGATGGATTGAAGAAATAAGGGATTGCGATTTTGAGAAGTCTTGGTTCGAACGGTAGCCTCTCTACCCCTCCCTCCCTATAACTAGGCGATGGGAGCGAGAGACGAATGGATAGGTACGCATACACATACACACATTACACGCATAGAGAGACACACACGGTGAGTAAGTGACAGAAGAGAGTGTAAGAGTCAAATGAACCGATCACCCACTACAGACGAGGGACGCTACACCACCAAACAAAGAAGAAAAAAGGAAAAGAGGGGGGGGGGAAATACACTCGCAAAATCCCAAATACATGTAGACCGAGTAGATCAAAGATTCCGTCAAAATCAATCATTTTGAATCCATGAATCATTGACTTCTTATGTAATCTGGTGCTCTTGAGCGTTTCATCGTTTCACATACACTGCATTGCATGGCGTTGATGAGAAAGAAAAAAAATGCCCCCCCAATTTCTTGCAACAGTGGCATCACTCATGTCTCTTTAGATATCTCCCGTGTATGTATATATATATATCTTTTGTTTGTTTGTGTGTGTGTGTGTGGTCCCCTTCCCTCCTCTTCTATCTCGTTCCTTACCCTACATCCCTTACGCCGGTCCTCTGCTCGCACGCAGAGAAACATCTCCTCAAACATTGAACGGTGACGGACGATGATGACGACAGTCAAGCCCGTACGGCACATTACCAGCTAAGTAAACAGTCAGTACATGACAAGTGTAAAAGAAGGAGAGACAATGGAGGGGTTTAAAAAAAAAAAACAGGACTGGAGCGCATGCAGAGATGGAGGAAACTTACCCAAACGACTCTTCAAAGTACTCGACTCCTCGCTTGCCCTCCTTCAGCGACGAGTGAACCGCCGCCCTGGCCTCATCGGCCATGCCGCCCGGACCACAGGTCAAGATGGCGATGCGACCGCCGGCACTTCCAGCACTGTTGACGTCGTTGATGATGGTCCGTATCGTGGCGGAAATATCCGGCCGGCCGCGCGAGATGCTGAGCTTGTCGCTGATGCTCGTGGCAGGGGTGCTCTTGAGGTCAAGCTCCTTGCTCTCAGTCATGGGACGACCATCATCGCTATCGTCGGGGCTAGCGCTCCGCACCTGCTTGGCGGATGTGGCATAGAGATGGATGTGGATATCCTCGCGGTCAAACATGGGCTTCAGCTCATGTTCAACCACGTTGCGGAGCATGGCGGACTGCCTGGTCGCCCAGATCAACGTGATGTCCCTCGTGCGCGTGGCCAGCTTTCCGCCGTTGCGCGATGCTTGTGCATTGTTGCTTGCTCTCGTGATGTGGTCTTGCAGGTAAGGAATTGCCCCAGCGATTCCAGTACCGCCGACAACCAAGATGACATTTTCATATGTATGTAAAGCGCTGTGCTCGCCGTATGGGCCTTCAATGAAGATATGCGGCGTGATGACTCCGGTGGGTGACTTGAGGCATTCCTCACGGAGACGCTTCGTCCAGCTGCCAAAGGGCCGGATAAGGAAGGTGAGTTTCTGGCTGCCGACTTTCTCTTTGAAGACAGCGAGTCTATGCTGCGAAGGGTCTGGCGTTGCGTTCGAGGACGTGGGAGAAGATGAGCCCGTTGCAGACACCTCGATGTCCTTGGCTGCTGCCAGTGTCTCCACGTCGTGGCCGGCACCAGGATGGACCGTCACGACACCGGGCGGAGTAGACTCCTTGACAGTCTCATAGGACGCCAGAGTGAATGGGTGGTTTTCCCATCCTCTCCACTTCATGGGCTGGTACAAGTAGTAGTGCTGACCAGGTCCTGGTTTGAGAATGCCCGATCCAGGCACGATCTCGAGTCTGATGAAGTCGCCATCTTTGTCGTAGGTGGCCGAAGCCAGAGAACTAACAACAGCGTGGGACCACTTGAGGTGAAGGTTGCAGTATGCCCAGCGAACGAGACGTGCTCCACGATCAAAACACCATATGGCCACCAGCGGCCACAGGTAGCCGTCGTACTCTCCGTCGAATATTTTAGTGTGACTAGATTGCAGTGGTTAGCTAGTGAAGCGCAAAGGGCTGAGAAGGTTGGACACTTACTAAAACAAGCCGATGATCGTCGCTATGGAGAGTCCGATGTGGATGAGGAGGAAAATCTCATACGACCTGACGCGGAACCACATGAAAGAGAAGAGCAGCAGCAAGGACATTGTGATTGTGGCCTGCCATTTGCGTTAGTACAACAATAGATAGGAACTAAGTTGAGACGTCGAGCGCTTACCATTCCTCCCATATACCAGTACTGTTCGTGCCACGATTCGCTGAAGTAGCCGACTATACAAAAATTAGCATGCCTCTCCCAAGGGTTGAAAACGGTGAATAGAACATACACCCGCCCTCCAAGACCGACCACCCTACCGAGTGGACAATCGCCAGGATTGTAGCGGCGCGAGCAATGTGTCTGTGAAAGATGTTGAAGGTCGAAAAACTCCAGCCAGTCAGCCACAAGAAGATGTTGTTTCTTCCGGCGAACAACCACAGCCAGGGCAACATTGCGTAGGAAATGATGCCGGTGCGATCGGAAATATAACGCCAGGCCTGTTGAGACTTGGTATAGCTGGAATTCCGTCAGCATTTGTTCTTGAGGATAGCTTCCGAGAACATACTAGAGGTTGGGGGAAGTGATGTAGTAGCCAACGCAGCACAAGATGAAGGTCATGATGTAGAAGGAGACCAGAACTATCGTCTCCATGCGTGTTGGTATCGTGGACCACAACAAGGGACGGTTGTGATGGGAGCCAAATGTCGCTGGAATGATGATCTGTGCTCTGAGCCAGTGATGAGCCGACTGGACCCAGGCGACAGGTCCCGAACGAGACTTTTTCTCGCTGGAGGACGCTTCTCCTCCCTCGACATCGTCCTTGGCCTTCAAGCGACGAGATTGAGAGACATGTGTTATGAGACGGTTGATCATGCCGATGAGAAGCAAGCCTCCCCAGAACCCATACATGGACCACCTAGAATAGTTTAATACACATCCTGAACACTTTATAATATTGGGCAGGGAGAGGGTACGCACCCGTATCTTTCATGGAGGATGTATTCAAGGTCGAAAATGGTCTGTGCCTCATCAGTACCCAGATTCAAGCATAAACAGGACAGCAGGGAATCCGAAACGTACGGTAGTGTCTTTAGCAATCTTCCAGAAGGTCTTGGAAACCACGACGGGCGTGTCGAAGATCGTGAGGGCCTCGACATCGCTGTATTGGGCAACCGGCAGAGACTTGATGTATTCGTCGGTGAGCATAGGGGCCACCTCATCATAGTGGACGAGTTGGACACCGCCATATTCCACACAGTAGGGCTCATAGTAGACTTCGCCAGCTGTAATTTGCTCGGGAGTGCAAAGGAGCTTTGCGGTAGCCCACATGGATGTCACCACCAATTTGTTGGTGCATGACTTGATATAGTAGTCAGTATCGGTGATATTGAAAGCGAGATAATCAAGGGCAGTTCGAATGCCATCAACACAGTCCTTCTTGCCGGCTGCGGCCCCAAGTGCAAGGCCGCATAGTAAAAGCCCTGTATTTAGCGTCTTCATGTTCAAGGCTGTCCAGAAAAAAAGCATATAGGAGTATTGAAGGGGTCACAACCAGGGCAGTAAGGAGACATGCAGGCTCGATACCTGGATTTATAGCCCAATCCAGGACCTGGTCTCTTTTGCAAACGACCTGAGTGGATGGCCAAATGCATTGGGGAGCACCTGACAATACTGCAAACCGACTTCGAGTGGACACAGCCAAAGGCCCTGGTGCCCTGGGTCTGGAGGGCCACTCCAGACCTCTCGATCCCGACAACATGTCAAAGGACTGGGATATACCAAAGCATACCAGATGGGTGCCACATCGGGCAATTGTGAGTGGTCGTGGTGGAGCCGCTCCTCACATGTCCGATCCAATCTTCAAAGATTATCAGCGAAAATTTTCTGATAATCTTATCAGATAAAAACTCGCTTCTGGTTTAGCGTGATGCCGACAGGACGTTCAACTTAACAAGTGTGACAAGCGTGACAAGCGTCGACAAGCCAAGTCTTCCATCCCACCGAACCACTTGGTCGGTGGGCTCCTCGGTCATTGATGCCTTAAGTCGGTCAAAGTTTTCAAGGGAAGTCTCAGAACCTTAGAGTCGAAGCTTTTCCAGTCCGGGATCAAGCGTCATGTAGATCTGCTTTGCTTCAGAGGTCTGGATTGCGACAATGCATGAGGGACCAAATGCTACAGGGGAGCATTTGCAACATGACCGATATCGGCCACGTTTGTCTCTTGCATATGTTCGATATCTTGTCCCACGTAGGGCTACCGAATAGAGGCGTTAAACGTACCACAAGGTATAAGAGCATGTCTCGACGAGACTCTCCTCCCTCTTGAATAGACAGAACCTTTTCAGAGTTGCAGGCGATCGCTGTCCAGGTGATACAAGCTGCCGAGTGTGCATGAAGCCATCAAACTGGTCGAGCAATAGAATTTGATCGTCCTCACAAGGCAGTCTCTGACTCGACCCTGCTGTCGCCAGCATCAGTGGGTAGTTACCATCCCGCCAGAATTCTAGGCCAGAGTCTCCACACGCGTAACTAGAACTCTCTCTCTCTCTCCGTGGCAGAACCTAGCTGCTGTGCATCGAGAACGCTGTGGATCGTCCTCTCATGATCCAGCTGATGGCCGCAGGGCGAGAATGAAAAGTTGTTGGTGATTCGCAGCGATTGGAGAAGCCATTTATCGTTCCCAGAACGGAGAGAGTATCCCCTGCATGGTGGGTACCGTCATGTACTGGTAGTGGTAGGTGTGACATCCGGTCTCTCCGCACATGGCACCCTGCAAAAATCCATCTCTCTTTCGAATAGTCAAGGTCAGACAGGACAATATCTCATGTCTCCGAGGCGACTTCCTTCGAAACGGGGGTGGTTTGTGCCTCCCAACCTGAAGCCCCAAGGTATTCGGTGTATAGCCTGTAGCACAGCTGCGAGGGCAACGCCTTGTCCGTGGAGATCAACGACACAGAGGCCGGACTGGGAAGGAGAAAGGCTCCCGAATGTGTCCGATCAAGGCAGCAAGCGTTCGCGAAGAGTGAGCTGATCTTTGTAAAGCCGTGACCACGCTGCAGGGCATGTCAACGAGGCTAATTCTCTGGCGCCTCTTGGCCTCAACGTCCATCAATCGCTCTCACATGGTGAATCTGCACGATCGCACGATTCAATGGGACCTGAGAGGTCAGTCAGTGCCCCTGTCGTTCTTGGGAGGATGCAGGCGCTGGTGCTGGCGCTGGCGCTGCCCATCGTCGCCCTTTCCGACGTGAAAATATTTTCACTGCGAGGGCCAAATAAAAGGCGCCAGAAGCGGATGACTTCTCGTGATCGCAGATTCGGTATGGGACATCCAAGGCTCAAATGGTGAGAAGTTATCAGATGGAATGTGAGGCTGATTTTGAACAAGCGCAAAGTGGGCAATGCTCGGCAGTATTGGCTCAGCTATTTTGACTACGGTGGCGCAAAAGCATGTTCCGCGAAGGTCTCTTTTCGAGCATCGCTCTCAGCTATGTACAGTATTTGCTTCTGATCCAGTCTCCCTCCCCTTCCTTTCCTCTCCCCCTCACAGCACCCTATTTCTATTATCGCCATCTATGGGTTTCTCTTTTCAAATCATCTAGAGCAACAGGGCCAACGCAGCTCCACCGACCAAGGCAGCCGCACCAGCCGCACCAGTCTTCAATGGTGCACTAGCCAGACCAGTGTAGGTGGCAGTGGCTACAGTGCTGCTAGCTGTTGCCGTGCTCGTGCCCTCATTGAGCGGCCATGCGGGCACACCATCGTCAGTGCCATTGACGGGCGGGTCCCAAGGAGCATCGGGGTTGAGCACATTGTCGATGAAGATAACGACACCTTCAGAAACAGCAAGGTCGACATAGTTGACGCCGGCGTTGTTGATGAACCATTCTCCTTCGGCGGTAGATGAGACTGTCAATGCCTTGCCCGAGAGCGTGGTCAATTGCGTGTTGTTCTCGAAGTCGTCAAAGTGCCAGACTTTGCCGGCCACCACATGGTATTTGAGCACTTCAGCGAGTTTCTCGTTGCTCAGCTCTGAGAGAGCGTGGTCGACCGCATCGAAACCCTCATTGATAGGAATGAAATAGGTCGCATCGTGCAGCTGATCAATTTCTTCCGTCAGACCAGTCTTGTTCAGGGCGGCGACATAGGAGCTGCCGTTAAAGTCGCCCGAGGTCACAGTGACGGAGAGAGTTGGGGGGATGGTCAGCACGCCATTGATGACATAGATCCATCCTTGAGCGAAAGGGATTGGCGTCGCGGCGCCCTCGGGGTCGTGGTCCAGACCGCTATAGAAGCCAACGACATCCTCGTCATCATCGTAGTAGAAAGCGACGTTCTGCCCGCCCGTCACACTGGTATAGTCGTGCGAAGTCAACAGTGTGTGGACGACCTGGTAGTCTGTGATGTTGTCGTACCCCCCATCGATCACATGGTAGAGCAATAGATTCAGGAGATAGTCCTCGCCAGCACTCTCAAGTGCCTGTCCCTCGGGAGTTTTCAGGAACTCGGCAATGGCGGTGTCGTTTGGCGCGAGAAAGGTAATGTTGGTCTTTCCAGCAATAGCCTCGAGGAATCCAGGGACCTCTGCCACGACTTCACTGATGGTGGCGGTCCCTTCGGTGGAGTTGAGGACTGTGACCAGATCTGCGGGGGTCTGGGCCAGGACAGTGGTAGCAGCAGCAGCCAGAGCTGCAAGGACAAGACTTTTGGGCGCCATCGAGATGGATGAAGAGTATTACTATGACCAAACAAGTGGGTTATGGAAACGAGAGACAGTTGAGGGCTGGGAAGAGAGAAAAGCGACATGCACGAGGGGGAGCAGACAAGAGTATATGTGCCTTTTTGTCTTCCCAACAGCTCACTCCATCAACCCTCGGGAAACCAAGTTTCCTCTGGGAAGCTCCAGGTGTATTCCTGACCGCTCCATTGCGCGATCGGTTTGACTAATGCAAACATGAAGGCGTGCTGGAAGTCGAGCACAAGGGACTGTCAAGGTCCAAGCACAAAGATGGATGAAGCCTTACCGTACCAGTCTAGCCACAAGCATTTTCCAGAGTCATAGCTTGGGAGAAGAAGCTGTTAGTCGGAAGTATCGAGGTGAATAGAGTACAAAGCAGAGTTTTTTTTCCCTCTTGTCTCTTCGCTTCCCGAAATCCGCCTGTGTGTATCCTCCCAACCGACATGATGGCGGCCTACCCGGATAGGCACCATTCGGTCGTTCCAACTTGCCCAGTCCAGCCAGCCTGACATTCACACACAAGAGTCAACGTAGGAGGCTTGCAGGAAAACAAGTTTGTTCAAGCCTATTCTGGCATCGCCCATGGCGACATAAGCTTAGGATCGTCAAGCTCTCCAGCGCCGACACCGGCGGGATCAGATGATGTTGCTGTTGAGGGCCACAGAAGCACGACGACGAGGGTGGTGATGCGAAGAAAAAATGCAAAAGGACCCATATGGCGTCTTGGGCGACCAATCTTATCAGATAATTATTATCAGATAAGATGAAAAATTCCCGCCGATGTGGAGTGTGTAGAGGGGCAGACGAGGAAGTGGGAGAAGCAGAAAGAGGCCTGATCCCGGCTTTTGCCAGCTTCGTACAGTTTCTGTTTCGAGACAAGCTTGACAAGCCTGACAAGGTACCAGCTGCTACCAGCTGGTGGCAGAGAGTATTATGGAGCAGGAAAAGATTCCCGTCAGCCAAGATCTGCACCAACCATCGCCCACAATGGTTAAAGGGACGAAATCTGTTCAAAAAAAACTGTACTTGCAGTGACTTGTTGCATGCGCCGGATTTGACCGATTGACCCGACAACACGATCAACGATGCGTCTGGGCCCCCCGCACAGTTTCTCAGTCATGAAAAGACACTCACCTCGTCTAAACCCATCTGGTCTCTTGTCCCACAACTCACGTCTCCATCGATCAACGGCCCCGTTTCGGAGAGAAAAAGGCAATGTCAGACAGAGCTCACCGTGCCTAAGCGAAACGCCACTTGTCCAACCACCGGTTTTTCACAAAGGCAGTGGGAATGCTACACATGGACCACATGGGCCTCGGAGCCCACAGCAGGAGGATACTCACGGGAGAGTGGAGAGTGTCGTAGCAACGTGGCTGGGAGGGGGAGGAATTGAGTAGCTACTGGCACATGGCTCATGTGTAGAGCTTAGACCAGTGGTTCAGGGGCACCTCAGCCTCGTGGCGACCCCCCACCCGATCTACTCGGACCACTGGTTCGAACCTCGACTCAGTATAATGAGAGACTCCTTTGTCCCCGTGGTGAGGGAGGAATTTGAGTGGGATTTGATCTGACATGGTTGGTCCTCGCTTCAAAGTAGCATATAGCAGTTGAGAGCTCCAGGCACGTGGAAAGTGTAGGGATGAGTTTTGACCCATCACGCCCAACCACCTCTTCCGACTGTGGCTTCTCTAGTTTTGAACCGCTCTTCTTGTATCGGAAGGAAGCTCTATACTGGAAGTGGCCGGAAACTCACGGCAGAGTCACTGTACCCTATGGTGTTGCAGGTGACGAGTGTCTCGGAACCAATATTCCATCCACCTGCTACAGTATCGCAAACACCAGGCCGATTGTCTCACAAGTTGACCGGGACGGCCTGTCCTCTGATGGAGCCGTGATTTTTCAGCTCACGCAAGCCCATGCTCCTTCTTCAAGTAGTGCCTCCTCTATTCATGAAACTCCAGAACGAGCCCTCGCCAAAGTCACCACGAAATTGCTGCGGCACCTCACTCGCAACGCCGCTGTCAGCGAATCCAGCTCCAAGCCCGCCATCAAAATTATCTTCCGACATTGAAAACGGCTGCACAATGGCCAGGTCATTATATGTCAGATCCGCGACTGGTCGAAAGGGGGTCCCATCGAACGCATAACTGGAGCTGGCTGGTGGGGCTGATGTCTGCGTTTGCTGAAGGGGCGTACTCCAGTCAGACATATCGCCAAAGGATGAATTGCCGCAGAATAAAGCAGGTTGTTGTGGTTGTTGTTGTTGTTGTTGTTGTTGTTGTTGTTGTTGTTGTTGTTGTTGTTGTTGTTGTTGTTGTTGTTGTTGTTGTTGTTGTTGTTGTTGTTGT